TTGTCATCACAATGCTAACACATTGCTACTCAGGGACTTCTATGATATAACATTTTATTTAAAGCTGATCGGATTTTTTTTTGGTATTTTTTTTATAACCTGAATCCTGTGTGCTATCTCAATGCTTAAATGGAAACCACCCAAGTGTTACATAACAGTCAACATAAAGCGAAGGGAAGACTTAGAGTTTAGCCTTCTTTAGAAAGAGCAATAACCGTGATAGATGAAGGCTTAAGCTAACAAAACAAAAACAAACAATTAAACGTATCTCTAGACAATATCTAAACTTTTGACTATATGTCGTGTGAAGTAGATCTAAGAGTAACTCCTGTCAGTTTGTTGTTTGTGTTGATTGAAAAAACAAATGCTCGAATCTGACCTTGTAACACGGTTGGAAACATCCAGTGTTGTGGATAGTTAAATAATAATCTCGTCACTTTATCTAGCTCACTTTTTTGATAACCCTAAGTGTTTTTTTATAAGTGTTAAAACTAAATTGTGAAATGAGAATAACAATATTTATAACCTGAGCTACTACATTCAAATGATATTTTAGACAGATACTACTTATGTTTCTCATGTGGTATGCATGTTGTCTGTTGACAGCAAGCTAGTTTACGGATATACTACACTATCTACTGAAGCCGAGCTAACATTTAAATAAGTTGCGAATGGTACTGCTCCATGGTTCAGTTGTTGTCACTGGATCCACCTAGCATTGGCAGAAACGTGACCTTTGAACTTGTATGCTAACGATGTATGAACCGAATCTAAAGCCGTGCCAGGTGTGACGTCAGGACAGTGCTTGTGATGCTTGTCTGACATGACCACAGAAGTGCCAAGTCTAACCACACTGTCACTAAAGGATTCCTAAAGTTTTATGTCTCGTTTTAACTTCAGAAACAGAATATACAATATACTGCGAGATAAATAATAGTTGCATAAGAAGTGAAGTAAAAATGTACACATCGTAACAAGACTGTTAAAAGCAGATGAAGCAGAGCTCGCTCAACTGTTACTGTAACAAGGAGAGAATGTGACCAATGTACGTTGGTCTATATGCCAGGTACAATTTAGAGCTGAGTGAACACACACTCCAGCCCAAGAGTAAATTATTTGTAGTGAAATACAGTAACTTTTATATAACTTAATCATATCTATATCATGTACACACCAGTAGTCGAAGGGGGGGGGGGGGGTAGGGGCGGTAATACCAGTTACTGCACAATGTTAAGTCATGATAGCTTTTAACACTACATATTGACCTCCTTGTCGAGCAATACGCTTACGATGACCTACTCTGCGTTACAGGTTGTGCTATTTATAAACAGTTCATGTAATCTCCATCCACACACACCCATCCCCAATCCTCTAAACGGTAACACCACCAAAGAATTCTGAGCTGAGGCTCCCCCCCCCCTCGAACAAATGCCTAAAAGAAATACTGGCTAGAAGTTAATGATTCTGATTGCTTAATGTAACAGTTTGACTTAACAACTGCATCAAAGAATTCCGAGCTCAGCTGGGAGAGTTGAACTAGATTCTTGACACCCTCGCTTACCCAGCGTGTGGGATTTGTTTGTCTAACTGGACTGTAATTATCATGTCAGCACCGGGTCTAATGCTTTAATCTAATGGAGATAGCTAGAGGCTAATGATTCTCATTGCTTAATGTAACAGTTTGGCATTGTTCAAATTTTTACCGCGCCCAGGTTCAACGGCTCCAGCCCGTAATGTTGTCAGACGCGGCAGATCTCTGTTAGTGCGTCCCTGGTCTAAACTTATTGATTTTTTTAGCAAGTTCAAAACGTTTCTATTGGTGGGGTAGGAATTTCAATATCACTATCAGTTTTAAGTAAACAAAGAGGTCACGTGACGGTGGAGATCGAATAAACCCTTGCAGCTAGTCTTTTTAAAGAGGGTGTTGTTTAATACTATCATGTTTCTAACTGATGACTTGACTTATTCTTTTGTGGCCTCTGAGGAACAAAGGACTGTAACCACACCTCTCCGCTGGTTTTAGGCAGCTCTCTTTATTTGCACCCACGAAAGCCCGGCAGCCCTTGCCTCCCCTTCCATCGTCCTTCAGATTTTAGCTGGTAGTTAACTGTTTTAAAAAAAGTTTTTAGCTATTTGATAGCGGTATAAAACAGCTTACAGCTTGTGGGTAGCAGAATAACATAGCTTATAGCTTGAAGCAGTAGCGGATTAAAGGAGGGGCTGATACGGCATAAGCCCAGGGCCCCCAATTTTTAGTGATCGTTTGAATGCTTAAATTACAGGACATAGCGATTTTATTTATTAAACAAATCCCACCCACAGCTCAGTTGTTACGCGTAAAAAAAAACACTTTAAAACGCTATAAATCAATGTACGATGATAAAACTAGGGAGAATAATCGTGTCCAATATACAGTGTATTTAAGGGATAAGTTTTCATTGATTGGAAAATACAAGTATTGTTTTAATTGACTCATATTCATCGCTACTGTTATATTTTAAATTGGATGCTACTGTATTTCACACAATATGTAATATTTCACACAGTATATTACATATTTTTCTAACTTCATCTACAGACCGGGTGACGCCTACAACATACAGTTTACAATAAATGGCGAGAAACATGTTGGTAAGTATTGGAAGGGGTGACGTGGATAACGTGGTTTATGTGAAGCAGAGAATGGCAGGTTGCTGGTGTAAGATATAGCTACAGTGGTGGTTGATGCTCGCAGTGGTTGGTGTGTACATGATTGTTTTGGTGTGTACGTAATTGTTTTGGTATGTACATAATTGCTTTGGTGTGCATATGATTGTTTAGATGTGTACATGATTGTTTTGGTGTGTATGTGATTGTTTTGGTGTGTATTTGATTGTTTTGGTGTGTACATAATTGTTTTGGTGTGCGCATTACTGTGCTGGTTTCAACAACGACAGCTTACCGAGTAATGAGATGTTGATGTGATGTTTGTTCGGCGAAATTGATAACCTTTTAAGTAGGTTGAGTCCAATTTTATCGAATACAGTGGCGTCACTATATAGGGCTATACCCGTTGTGGTAACCCTTAAAAAAATATATATTCTTCACACATGTGTGTATTAGCATTCCGTTGGCAATAGCTTTCTTAGCAACCAGAGTTTCTTTCTGGCATTTTCTCCGGTGGGGGAGGCTAACGTAACTTCCGGAGGGACGACACTTAAAACGTACGGGTGGGGAGGGTAGGCATTTGCTGTTTGAAGAATATATTTAAATATATTTTTGTTATCCTCCGAGGAAGGTGAAGGCGAGGAACGTACTCAACTACTTCTTCCCCCTCCCCTCCCCCCAAGAGATGCCTGAAACTCTGCTAGTAACTCTATTCTAATATATTTTCTCTAGTCCCCCCCCCCCCCGCACGATTCTTGTGTCACTCTCTAGGTGGTATCCGGTTTTTTTTCTTTAACGGTATCTTGTTGTTATTTTTATCTGCCCTGTGTCTATCTTGATGTGCTCGCAATCGGAATCCCGAATATTTAGCCAACCCTTCGCAATTTTTATTTGAAAAATTAAAACTTTATCCGTGTTATCGATCCATCGACGTGCGCCCTCCCCTCTATTGCCACTGCATTGACAATGACTCCGCAGTTTCGTGCTGGAGATGAAATAACAGATTTTGTTTTTCCTAATTGCTACCTATTTTGTCTCCTACTAATTTAGTCATATTTGGTACACACAATAAACAAAACATTTAAAATAGTTTACCGTCAGTAAATATTGCTCAAAACAGTTCCTATTAAATTAAAGGTATTTATCATACCAGTGCCCGACTGTGCTACAAGAATGGAGTATTTATAGTTAACTGGTAGTGAAATAAAAACTAAAAAACTTGCTAATGTCAATGTTAAACCCATCACTAACAATGTTGATTATCATTAAATAATATCTTTCAGTGTATGATAAGTATCCACCTAGCACATCACTAAATGATATCTTTCAGTGTATGATAAGTATCCACCCACCACATCACTAAATGATATCTTTCAGTATATGATAAGTATCCACCCACCACATCACTAAATGATATCTTTCAGTGTATGATAAGTATCCACCCACCACATCACTAAATGATATCTTTCAGTGTATGATAAGTATCCACAAATCACATCACTAAATGATATCTTTCAGTGTATGATAAGTATCCACTCACCACATCACTAAATGATATCTTTCAGCGTATGATAAGTATCCACCCACCACATCGCTAAACGATTACATCAGAGATGTTGCTGGACTTAAGGGGACGAAAATCATGTGCAAGGAGGCCGGATGTGGATGTTGTGCAGTGACCGTGACCTACGCCCCAGGGGGAGATAAGGCAGAGACCATGAGCATTAACTCCGTGAGTTGCCCAAGCAAGAGATTTTTGTTATATTAGATTTTAGCATAATTTTATTTTCTATATATAACATTTTGGTAAAACTCCATTTTATTCGCCGCTTCACGTTCACCTCCGGTTGAGCGTATTTTATTATAAACACAACCAAAACAGAATCAACTAGACTACCCGTTATCTAGTTAGATAACTGTGGGTTTCGGGGGGGGGGGGGGTCATCCATAAATTACATCACGTCTGTCACTCAGAGGCGTGGCGACCCTTTTCTGCGCCCGGGGACAAACTTTTCGATTTGAACCCCCCCCCCCCCGCCAAGAATTCGATATGCACCCCCCTCAAACTTTCGATGTGCACCCCCCCCCCCTCAAGATTTCGATTTGCACCCCCCTCAAACTTTCGATTTGCACCCCCCCCCCCCTCAACCTTTCAATTTATTTTTCCACCCCATAAGGTCGGCACCCGGGGACATATGTCGTCCCCCCCCCCCCCGCCCCCACCCCCTCGCTACGCTACTGCAGTGTCACTTATCGTCACAAAAAAACCAGACCCCACATTCAAACATGTTTTTTTTATCTTTTAAAAACACCGAAAACTATTCGGACTATCCCTTTATATACTGACACAACAGGTGATCTACTCAACTCCACTTCACCTGCCCAGTGTCCCGCCAAGTCTCAGACAACATGTTTTTATCGTTTAAAAAAACGATTCCAGCCGAGCATGTCTCTGACCACACTATCCCTTCATATGCAAATCGAAAGTTTTGTCCCCGGGTGACGGGAAGGGTCGCCTCTGGAAGGAGTTTGTCGATTTAAAATAGGTGGTGCCCGCCACCCTACCGATATTTTAGAATGTGCTCTAGAGTAAAAAAAAAAAGGTTGGGAACCCCTGCTGTAAAGAAACACAAGTTTAAACAGAAGAAAAAACTCATCAGAGAACAGTGAGAATAGGTGCAGTAGAAAGCATACGGACAGCCGCTTAAGCACCAGTCCCAGCCCCAAATACGTGCTGGGGACAGACAGATGGCAACAATTCCAAGCTTGCCACTGCCCAAGTGCCTACTTTTTCGAATATCGTTAAATGGGGAATGTTATTTTATTCAGAATGCATTACTAATTTCATTATTCTGGCGAAACAAGCGTGTGTTTTATATGAATACATATTATTTCATATATATAAAGCTATTTATTTTAAATAACAAATGAATTTTTTTACCTAATTCTAACCAAAAAATAAAACATATATTGAAACAAAAAAATGTTAGTGGCTCTTGAAAACCTTGGAAATTTTGAAAATTGTAACTTTTGGCTCTATATTCTCAAAGGGTTGCCGACCCCTATACTAGTACACATTCAATATTCCAAATTTTGGATTTTTCTCAAGTTTAGACTAAATTAATTTAAAAAACTAAACCAAAAATTCATAACAAAATAGGTCGAGTGATTTCCTAACGTTTTTGTTTGTTTTGGTTGTGTTTATAATAAAATACGATCAAATGGAGGATAAAGTGAAGCGGGGAGTTTTACCTACAATTTCTGTGTTTTTAAAGTAATAGTTTTTTATTGTTAAAGTTTTTTTTTTATAATCTTTTTATTAGAATCTATTGCGTCTTAGATCTAAAAATAGTTGCTTGGATCAACTTTAATTTAATTAACTAATTATATAGCTCAGTTGGGTCTATCATGAGTTACCTCCCTGCTAGCAGTTATAAATTTAAGTTAATGAGTTGTTATTTAATGAGTTACCCCCCTGTCAATATTTATTGAGTCACCTCCCCTGCCAGTGTCTCTGCCCCCTGTACAGTGTAGACGGCTGGCAGATCACCACTGTTGAAGGTATAGGCAGTCAAAAAGATGGATTCCACCCAATCCAGGAGAGGATTGCCCAGCATAACGGCACTCAGTGTGGCTACTGTACTCCTGGTTTTGTCATGTCCATGTATGGGTGAGTCAAAAATCAGTTCATTCAATCATCAGGTCAGATTGTTAAGGAATTATTTCAGTCACAATGTAAAAATTGTGTTACAGTTTGAGTTAAAGTTTCTGTCTGTAACAACTTGTTTCTTTTTACAAGAAAATAAAGTTAACAAATAAAGTAACAATATTTAATTTATTTCAATGTATAGTTTTTTAAAAGTTGATAAGCTTACAAAACTCAATAAAGCTTATTTTTGCGTAAACTTATTTGGTGATATAAAAATTTAAACTGAAATAAAACCAACAAAAACTATTTTCTAACCAGCCTACTCAATGATATAAAATTTAAACTAAAATAAAACCAATGAAACTATTTTCTAACCAGCCTACTCAGTGATATAAAAAACATAAACTACAATAAAAATAAAACCAATGAAACTATTTTCTAACCAGACTACTCATTGATATAAAATTTAAACTGAAATAAAACCAATGAAACTGTTTTCTAACCAGACTACTCATTGAAATAAAATTTAAACTAAAATAAAAATAAAACCAATGAAACTATTTTCTAACCAGATTACTAATTGATATAAAATTTAAACTGAAATAAAACCAATGAAACTATTTTCTAACCAGACTACTCAGTAATATAAAAACATAAACTAAAATAAAAATAAAACCAATGAAACTATTTTCCAACCAGACTACTCCACCAGAAGCCCCAGCTGAGCCAGCAGGAGATAGAAGACTCATTTGATGGCCACGTGTGCAGGTGTACAGGCTACAGGTCAATCCTGGACGCCATGAAGTCTTTTGCTACAGACTCTACTATTCCAGGAGCCAGGTGTGTCGAAATTGAGGTCAGTGCATTCAGTTGTTTTTTGTTGTTGTTTTTTTTATTTTATTTTTTGCAAAACTTAATGAAATCAAATTTTAGATTTTTTAGAGCTTAGTTTAAACAAATAGTACTTAGACTTACTATCAAAACTGGTAAAGGGCATAATCCATAATCCATAACACAAACTTTAAATCAATATAAATTAAAAAACAAAACACATGTGATGAATCAATGAATAGGCAAGTTTACCTAATAATTTGATACATTTAACTACAGTCATATTTAGCACATAAATAAATTCCTATTACTTTCCTATCATAATATTCCTGTCTTACAGGATCTTAATAAACATCTGTGCCCCAAAACTGGAGAGGTTTGCAAAGGGAAGCAAGAAGGATGTTCTCATGGCTTATCCCTTGACTTGCATGAAAGCAAATGGTACAGACCAAACAACCTGCAAGAGCTTGGGAAACTTCTCATAGAAAATAGCACCAGGAGCACAAAACTTTTGTTTGGCAACACATCTGCAGGTAAGTTGTTCTGGCTATTGTTTAGAAAAAAATTGTCTAATTGTAATCTCAACATAAGTGAATGTTAAAGTCAGGATACATTTCTACAGAACATAAATGAAAGCTTAATCAAGAAATAAAAATTTAGTGGTCTGGGATCTAATAGTTTATTCTCCTGTTTAAAATTCATTTTTTGTCAGGATATGTGAAGAAAGAAAAAAGGTAAATAGAGAGTAATAGTCAACAATTTGTTTTGATTGTGATAGTTTTATACTGAATGGTAATATAAATTTAATTTTAAAAATTAACTACAACACACACACAATATCTATTTTGTTATTATTGTTAACATTGTATGAACTTGTCTTTTGTCTCCAGGTATATTTAAAAATGAAGGACCCTATCAGGTTTATATTGATCTTCATGGGGTGAAGGAGCTCTACCTGTTTACAGTAAATTACTCTACTTTTACTTATTTAATTCAAAAGGTTAATGTATATTAAATCTTTCTTAACTGAATAATGTGAAATTGTGGCAGAAATATTATGAAAAAAAAGCTCTGAAGAATAAACAAGAATATAGCTATAAACAACTTATATTAAATACACTGTTGTCTGCTATTTAACATGTCACTTTCACTATTTTCTCTATATCCACCTGTTGATGTCAGTAAAAAAATTTGATCCCCACTGATGTAAAAATCCTTACAGGAAAACACAGACAGTGTTGTGTTTGGTGGCAACACCACACTCTCTAAGCTGAAGGACCATCTGAAGGAGCTGCAACACAAGGCTGGCTTCTCCTACTTCACTGCAGTCATTCGTCATCTCAAAGTCATTGCCAGTGTGCTGGTTAGAAATGTAAGGCACCTTCTGATTGGTTTTAATTATTAGAAATATCTCAGACTACTTGCTACTATTTACGGCTTGTTGAATCGAATTTATGCCTTTGCTATTGATTAAAGGAAACTTATGCTGTTTTTTTTTAACTTTTAAATGTAATTTAGCTTATTTAATAATCATTTCTGGATGGATGGATGGATGGATGTGTGTCCGCAGCTTTAAGTCGTATCTCCTCCTCAACGAAGCAATATCGAGGACTAGTTCCAAAAGCAAATATGTTAAGCAAGTTCCAAGGATGATTTTGGGCCAAAAAAATTCCCTGAATTCCTTCCTGGATTTCCCGGAAAAGCCAAAAAACCTCGAACAAAAGCAGTTTTTGCTCCATATCTCGGCAACCAGACCACTTAGCGACTTGAAACATTTACCAATCGATTCCTGCCATAATTTAGAACAATATTGCCGAAGAAAGTTTACAAAAATATCCTTTTGTTCGGTCACAAAAAATTAATTAAGAACCTTTAAACTGAGCATCGTGTAGGCCTAGGATGATATTTACTACTTTTTTAAACTGAGCATCATGTAGGCCTACTCGTTAAAATAAAACTATTTCGGTTGATTTAAAATCTCGCTAATAAATATTTTTTCTATTTTGTTTTGAGTTATTAAAACTACTTGTGTTGCATTATTTATTTGCTGAATATATGATTTATCTTGATTTAAAATTGTTATGGATAACATAAGGAAAATGCGCTTAAATTGTCACTAGACTTTTTATTAACTTGTTTTTATTTAAAGATCTTAAGTTAAATTAAAAACTAAATTTGATAATACTTGTCTTAATAATTTTGCAGGCTGGTTGCATTGCAGGAAATTTAATGATAAAGAAAAACTATCATGAATTTCCATCAGATCTTTTCACTTTGACAGAAGCCATTGGAGCCAGTGTTGGTATCTTTGGTAAGATTTTTTTTCCTGACACATTTGTATGAAATTAATTTCTGTTAATTATAATATCATTCAACATTAGAAAATTGTCAGTTATAAAAATAATTTGATTTTGATTGTATTAGAAAATTTTTTTTTAAGAGTGACAATTTTAAAAAATTAAAATCAGCTATTTAATGTATCAAGATGCTAAAGATGGCAGCACAAAGAAATACAGCCTGTTGGACTTCCTACAAAAAGTGGACATGAAACAAAAAGTCATAGCTTTTCTTCAACTCCCAAGTTTCAAACAGTCTGAAGTCTTACGATCTTTTAAAATTACTCCAAGATGGCAGGTAGTCTACTGAAAAAAAAAAATTTTTCATATATCGACACAATCCTGTTTTAAAATAACCAGTCATAGCTTACTGTTTAACTAAGAGGTACATTGAAGCAAAACCTACTCTTACGAGAAATTTTGAGAAAAAAGAATTTCTCTCAAACAACTTTGTACCATTGGAATAACAAATTATGTATGGTCTGTTACATGAACAATATCTCACTTTTAAGAGAGTATAAGATAGTATAGCTTTGAGTTTATAGAATGCCCTTTGTTAGAGTAAACTAAAAATTTCCATCTGCATGAAAAATGGCAGAATATATAATTAATTTAAAACAGCTTAAAAAATATCTATGTTTTTGTTTGTATTAAAATGGATGTAAGTTTCTAATATTTATTCTAACAGAATGCTCATGCATATGTAAATGCTGCATTTAAGCTTGGAGTTGAGGGTAAAAAGGTTACAGGAACTCCATCTTTTGTGTACGGAGGTATCAGTAACAATTTGGTAAGCTTCACTTAATCACAGCACAAACACAGCTGAAAAATTGTTAAAATTTTGAAACCTGTCTGTAAAGATAAAACATACTTACTTCTAGAAGCATTTGGTTACTATGATATCTAATTCTAAGAATACTTTAAATCTGTGCTGTTCATTGCTTGAGTCTTAAGTAAATGAATGGGAAAAACAGACTTTTTCTGAAAAAGTTAAACTTTGCCTGTATGTTTCTGAGATCATTGGTTTGAAATAAGCCTATAGCTATAGAATTTTTTATTTGCTTTAACTTGAAAGATGTTGGATTTAGTTTAGAGGTGGTGGGAGTGCAGGCTGTACCATGTGAAACTATCAGAGGGAGATTAGCAAAAGCAAAAACTACAAATAAATAACTGAGTGTTAAGATATTTTCCATATTAATTAACAAGTAATTACAGTAAAATACATCATTAAGCACAGGCTGTCTTCATCATATCAAGGAGGGGTGGGGGGGGGGGGAGTGTTGACACCCAAGCTAAAACTGTTAAATTCATCCCTTAGTATGGCGTTAGTTCATTACACAGAGAGGTTAGAATTGAGACCAGCATTACTGAACAAGGTAACCCATGGCCTAACTATGTCTCTTGTCATAATAAATTAGATCAGTTTGTTAAGACGTTGTGTAAAAATAATTTTTTATTTTCAGATTCATGCTTCTAATGCTGAAGCATTCATTAAAGGGAAGGAACTCGATGACAAAGTAATTTTAGGTAAAAATATTTTCATTTCCCTTGTATGTAATTTAACTTTCTAACTTAAAAAATTTAATTTTAAATTGTAATATAAACATATAAGTGAAAAACTGTGTCCTATGTATCTGGTTAATAAACAATGATAGTGTTAAAAAATAGAACTTGTAGCCAATTGGTACCTTTTTCCATAACATATGTGAATGATAATAATTGTTGAAACTACAAATGTTTTAATAAAAAATTTCCTTTAGAAACATTGAAGGTTTTATCTGCTGAGCTGATTCCAGCAGAAGATGACCCACTTGCTGCGTCTGCTAAATACAGACATGACCTGGCTGTCAATCTTCTATATAAGGTGCGTGAAGGGTAAAGAATGTAGCTTTTTCTATTTTTTTCCTGTAATTATTTTTAAAATGTTATTATTTTTTTAATTTGACTGAATGAATATTATCCAATCAAGTATCAAAGAATATCCTTGACAAGATTTTTATCTTTGTTTAATTTAATGGATAGCATGTATTTATTTTTAAATATATATTTTTTTATTTTACAATATCATAAGACTTAAAGATTCAAAATTGTTTCAACTAAAGTCACTGTAGTTTGTTAAATAGCATTAAAAAACTGAACTATAACACACCTGACAGACACTTTTAGAGGTCTACAAACCATCAGATCTGAGAGTTCAAAGTGGAGCTGACAGTATGGACAGGACTTTGTCCTTTGGGCTACAAACTTTCCAAGAGAAAGCAGAGGAGTTCCCTCTCAAGTAAGCTCTATCTAAATTGGAAGCACCTTTACAGGTTAGAACTAGTCTGTTTTATTGGTTTTACAATAGTAATTTTTATTTGATAAGTAAATATATAACAGTGTAATTATTTCTATTAAATGTACCATTTATAGGCATCTGGTGAAACTGTTTACACCAATGATATTCCAAGTTTCCGCAGAGAACTTTGTGCAGCTTTTGTAATTTCTACAGTAGGGTCAGCCACACTTGAACATGTAGACCCATCTGAAGCTTTGGTAAATAAATAAAATATTATAAATTGTATTTCATCAAATAAAATGATATTGTTACTTTATTCAAAATCAACTGTAATTCTTATTCTTAGTATTTTTTGTCCAAGCCTAAAACTAAATGTGACTAACTTGCCTGAAACGTAACATAATTCCAAATCTTACACTACACTAAACTTTAAGAGTTCAAATATTGTAGACTACATGTGGATAAGGCTATAAAACCTGCTCCTGGCTAGAGCTAATTATGGTATTAAAATCTGCAGGCAATCCCTGGAGTTGTGAGCTACATCAGTGCTGCTGATATTCCAGAGGGAGGCAAGAATGATTTCATAGACTGTTTGATGTTTCCTGGAATGCCACATGAAGAAGTAAGTGCTAAAATAACAATATTTGGCTAAAATCTCTGCTCATTTGAAGCCATAGTTTTTAATATATAACATCAGATATTTTAAATGAATAAACGAATTTATAAGTAAATGTTGCAGGGTTACATTGCATTTTCCTTGGAATAAATATGCTATAAATATCTAGAGAAAAAATTCATAGCATGTTATTCAATGTTAATGTAAAATAAAAAAATTTCCAATGGGAACATTTATGCTAATGTATAGGATACAGGTTACAAATGTAAGCACAGTATTATAGGTATTTCCAAAAATTGTAACTAATATTAGTTGGTGCTTTTATAAGAAAGTTTTTACCAAACTGGATCTTTTAGACATTATTTGTACTCTAAATTTGATACAAGGTTAAAAGGATTTGTCTTTATCAATACACTTTTAGGTTTTTATCACAAAAGAAGTCTCTTATGCTGGCCAAGCTATTGGACTAATACTGGCTGGTAATTTAATTTTCAATGCTTTATCTTAGTAAATCTTTAGAGCCTCAAAAAAAAACGTTTACATTTTTTATTGTTTGATTAAACGTATTACCTTTTTTACTTTTTAGTGTTTCAATCTTTTCATTTGTAAAATGTGATTAAGTTTACAAAATGAGACTTGTGAATAAACAGAGAGACAGAGCATTGCTGATGAGGCAGCTAAGAAGGTGAAGGTCACCTATACAAATGTACAGGAACCAGTGACAGAACTAGAAGAAGCCATTGAGAAAAAAATTTTCCATGAGGGAAAAAAAGAGGAAAAAGTTATTGGCAGTCCAGATGGTAGGAACTTTTTTGCTTTATAGTTTCTCTTTTGAACTTACCAATAAAAAAATTTAAAAAACACATTCGATTAAGACTGTTATCTTATATTTCTTTTATTAGATTTTCTGTGAATAATAGAAAAATATTTTTGTTCTTTATTACTCAGATGCCTTCAAAGATTCAGAGATTGTTGTGTCAGGTCAAATCAAAGAAGGCTCACAGTATCACTTCTACTTAGAAAATCAGGTAGTTTAGTTAGCTAATACATTATTAGTAGTACACTGCTTAAGAGGACATTTTACTAATGTTCAGTCAAATATGGAAGTTTATATAAGTTACATAAATATAACTTTATTTCAATACTTCAACTGTGCCCATGAAACATGTCTGAAGAATAAAATAAATGTTTCATTCTACTACTATTCCTTATTCTCAGCCTACAGTTTGAGAAACTATTTTGAAAAATTTTCCTTTTAAAATGTACATCAGGTGTCTGTGGCAGTTCCATCTGAAGATGGTATTGACCTCTATGCTTCTACACAGTGGGCAAGCCATAACCAAAGAGCTGCAGCTAATATCTTAGGCAAGCCATTAAATTTGTAAGTTTTGTAACCTGCTAATATCTTAAGCAAGCCATTCAATTTTTAAGTTTTGTAACCTCCTACCTACTAATATCTTAGGCAAGCCATTCAAAATTTGTAAGTTTTGTAACCTGCTAATATCTAAGGCAAGCCATTCAATTTGTAAGTTTTGTCATCTTCTACCTGCTAATATCTTAGGCAAGCCATTCAATTTGTAAGTTTTGTAAACTTTTACCTACTAATATCTTAGGCAAGCCATTCAATTTGTAAGTTTTGTAAACTCCTACCTACTAATATCTTAGGCAAGCCATTCAAAATTTGTAAGTTTTGTAACCTGCTAATATCTAAGGCAAGCCATTCAATTTGTAAGTTTTGTCATCTTCTACCTGCTAATATCTAAGGCAAGCCATTCAATTTGTAAGTTTTGTAAACTCCTACCTACTAATATCTTAGGCAAGCCATTCAAAATTTGTAAGTAAGTTTGTAACCTCCTACCTGGTCAAGTTTAAGTCAAAATAAAGTTCCCTTTCAGCCCTTGCGGACCACTAGGCAGCTGAAGTAGATTTCAATTGTTTCTGTGACCTTAGCATCATAGCATGTGAAGTGATAGGATAGTTAACACTATATTTCTTTCATGTCAGCCATTAGCAAAAAGTGTTTCATGTAATGTTTTAAAACTGACTCTTCAGACAATAAAAATCAAGATCTATCAAAATATAGGCCTATATATATTAAATTTGAATTAATATATTTAATCTGTAATGGGAGACTCTTTTATTCCAGCATCAATGTGATCTCAGGTAGAATTGGAGGTGGATTTGGGGGCAAATTTTTCTACTCCTGCAGTATGTCTGCTGCTGCAACTTTAGCATGCTACATCACCAAAAGGTAAACAGATGGGAAACAAAATGTTCAGATATTTAAAGATAAGCCAGTCTAATTTATAGAGGAATAATGTATAAATTATGTGTTTTATGGATATTGCAGTATTTTGCTGGGGAATGATTAAGATATTACATTGATAATCTTGTGTTGATAGAGGAAAATTTATATACTAGATGGAGTATCTGGGTATAAATTTAAAAATAACATTATTAGGTTTCAATGTAATTTACATTACATGGGCAATATTCTTAAGTTATTTTGGAGTTTTAGTGATGAGTGGATCATTTGTTGTCCATGAAAAAGGTTATGCAAAAAAAACTGACAAAAGTAGTCACCTAAATTTAATTGCTGGCAGACTATTTTATAAATTGCTTAAAATTTTTGTTACAACAATAAATTGTATAAAAAATAAAAGTTAAGAAGTTTTAAAGAAAATCTAATTCAATTACAAACTTTTTAAAATTATCTGCTGCAAGCATAAATATTTTTTTCTCCCACAGGCCTGTTCGTCTCTGTGTAGATTTGGCAACAAACATGAAATTATCAGGAAGGAGGTTTCCAATTTTGGCCAAATATAAGGTAACAATAAAAATAAAATAACAATTTAAATATATATATATATATATATATATATATATATATATATATATATATATATATATATATATATATATATATATATATAAAATATTGTATGTTTTACAGTTTCTATGCTGTTCTAGAGATCTAGCTTTTCTGGCTAAAAAGATTTTTTTCTTTTTTGAGATGTATTCTTATGGCCCAAATATTAAATTAAACTTGAATTTTACCATAGGCTGCTGGTTTGAACAAAGAAGGAAAAATGCAAGTGATTGACCTTGATATATATGCAGATAGTGGTTTCCATCCTTCATTTATTATTTCAAGGATGCCTCAGTCACTTGACCAAGGTTAATCCAATTAACAGTTTTTAATTATTTTTTAGAAATGTTTAATGCAAGTGAAAAAAACGATTATTTTAAGCTAAAATTTTCTCATACTTTTGCATAACAATGATGTAGAAATTAATAATAAATAAAACTATTCTATCAGAAAATATGTTAAAATCAACACTAAAGTCCTAATTATGTAAATATTTTAATTTCTTTGTTTTATATTTTAAATAGTATTTTGTTAATATTTCTAATAAAATACATCTGTTACAAACAATTCGATTAATGATGTGAAAAATATGACCACAGTGGCTACTATTGTCACTGTTAAAAAAATAAGCATTATTATTAGTATTGTAATTCACCTTTTAGAAACAGTTGTATTAATATTTTTTAATTAATTTGTGCATATAAAAACAAACATTTTAAACTGCTGCATTTACAGGTTACCACATCCCCAACTGGCGTGTTATCACCACACTTGTCCGCACCAACAAAGCCACATCACAAGCTTGTTGAGGACCAGGTATTTCAACTTTCTTCTCTCTAAAGTAATGAAAGTAAATGTTAAAAGCACACAGTATAACAAACTGTGTCATAAAATAAAGCTTTCTTTTTTTTTAACTTCTTTGCTGATTGTAATCTTTGATGGGATTTCCTCTAACATAATTAAGTATTAAGTGTCAACTTTTTAGTCTTCTTTTGACCCATTGACTGATTTCAGCCTGCTTTTCTTTCTTTATTTGATTCCAAGGACTTTGTCCATCCAAGAACAAACTTCAAGGCAGTAGATGTTTAATTTTGGAGTTTTCTCTCCTAGATGTGTTACTGTCCCAAGCTATCTAGTCTAAGGGGGAGTTTGGCCTTTCAGAAACCATCAGCTTTACTATCTAAGCCATGCAATTTTAAACACTTTAATACAACTTTATTAAATCGTATGTGTATATATATATATATATATGATCTTTTAAACCTGTTTTAGGGACTATGCCAGCTTCCCTGATCATAGATGGTATCCTTGAACATGCTGCAAAAGAAGTCATGATGCATCCAATTCTTTTTAAAGAGATAAATTTGTATGAAGAAGGCCAGGTAAACTTTTAGCTGCTAACGAATATTTAACATTTACCTAAGCTCAGTAACATAAACTTAAACTGCAACACCCTGTGATCAAGTTATTAAGTTATTTGGACAATAACCTTAGACAAGCTTTATATATATATATATATATATATATATATATATATATATATATATATATATATATATATATATATATATATTTTTTTTTTTTTTTTTTTTTCACATGTTTATCCTAACCATAATATGTAACAATTGCAGAAAAAGAGTTTAATTTATATTTTTATTTTATAACAAAACTCTCTTCTTTAGACAGACTTAGAGGGTATTACCCTAAAACATTGCACCATCAGAGATTTGTGGCAGAGACTTAAACAAATTGCTGAAGTCACTGAGAGGATAAAACAAACAGATCAATTCAATCAGGTACGTTAATTTAAATTGTTGAATTGCAAAAAAAATATATATTCACAATTAGTTAATATTTTAAAAATGTTTTTCACCCAGAACAACAAATGGCGTAAGCGAGGTATCACCATGTGTGCTGTTAAATTCAGAATTCTTTACTACCCTCCAGGCCATGAGGCCAACGTTTCTGTGTTTGCTGATGATGGGACGGTCACTGTGATGACCTCAGGAACAGAAATGGGGCAAGGACTTTATACAAAGGTATTTATGAGTCTTTAGCACATAGCTAATGGGAAGGGATTATATACAAAAATAGAATTGATGGCAGGAAGTGTATACAATAGTAGAACAAGGGGAAGTATTGTACACAAAGTACTTGGGAAGTGGTTCGCTATTTCAAAAATAACAAATTTAATTAATCAACCACTGTGGAAAATTAATGTTGGCTTACCAGTTGTTTCTTTATTGTTAAGAATAATCAAATTTTTTTTTTATCTTACACTCTCTTACAATTATAATATTTTTTAAATCTGTCTAAACAAGATGATTGGCATATTTTTGTTTTATCTGGCAGGTCTCCCAAGCTGTTGCCAGGACACTGAAAGTCCCACTGAATTACGTCAAAGTACGACCTCTGCAAAACAACACCATACCCAACCCAAGCTTCACTGGAGCAAGCTTTGCCAGCGAAACATGTGTCTCTGTAAGTCTATCATGGCCCTATCTCTTTAAACTAATGGTTTTTTTTTCTATACTTTCTTCCCCAAAACACAGATGATTGAAAATTGAAGAATAAAGACGCCTAAAAATCTTTATTTGTCTATGCTAATAGTACAGTATTTTTTCACAGTACAGTATCTTTTCACAGTACAGGATCTTTTCACAGTACAGTATCTTTTCACAGTACAGTATCTTTTCACAGTACAGTATCTTTTCACAGTACAGTATCTTTTCACAGTACAGTGTCTTTTCACAGTACAGTATCTTTTCACAGTACAGTATCTTTTCACAGTACAGTATCTTTTCACAGTACAGTATCTTTTCACAGTACAGTATCTTTTCACAGTACAGTATTTTTTCACAGTACAGTATCTTTTCACAGTACAGTATCTTTTCACAGTACAGTATCTTTTCACAGTACAGTATCTTTTCACAGTACAGTATCTTTTCACAGTACAGTATCTTTTCACAGTACAGTATCTTTCTTGATGGGAATTGCCTGTGTAGCGCGCATCAAAGGAGACTATAGCGCCAACGCGTTTACTGCATAAATTAGTGGCTACAGCCATCATTTTTCCTCCCTTCTAAGGCTAAGCAGACAGTTTATATACCCTACTCCCGAGTGTCTCGGATGACACCATGCTCTCTGCACAAATTCAACCTGTGACAATTTCCCCTGGTTTTGTGCTAACCTACCCCAAATAACTCTATGTTAAAACTTATCGCGATCTCTTGAAATTCTAATAATTGTATTATAGAAACTACAGGCTATTCCCTTTACAATGATATAATTTATATAAAACATCAATTAGTGGTTCCTAAACAATAATACCTTAAACATGCACATAATGTGAAAATATCACCTAATTAAAGTGGATTTGGTGACTAAGAAATTCTTATTAAAGATCATGCTAAACTAAAAGTATTTATTAAGATTTTAAAAATGTCTTCTTGCTCAATACTAAGCACAATTGACTCATTCTTAACTTATTCACTATATTATCTATTGCCTCAATGTGTGTCTCTAGGTGTCTACCCACATTGTGTGTCTTAGTGCGTTAGCCTCATTAAACATTTATGTCTGAATTTATGTCTCTCTGGACCATATTTTGTAGTTCCATCATGAATAAACAAGACTCTAATATTAAGTTGTAACTTTTAATTCTGTCTTAGGCAGCCATCAATGCTTGCAGAGAACTGAATGAGAGACTTGAGCCAATGAGGGCTAAGATGCCAGATTCTGATTGGCCAACTTTACTCAAAATGTGTCATTTTAATAACATTGATCTGGCAACTCGAGCTAAGTAAGATTTAGGCCTACAGTAGTTTTTTTTTTTTAATTGGGGTGTTAGTTCATTTTTGTATTACTAGGACCTAAGCATTTTTGTATCAACAATAGAAATTATTTAAATTTCTTATATATTTAGTAAATTCTTAGATTATTTGATCACACCTTTTCTAGTTAACATGTTCATGACATTATAACTGAATGACTGTTTAAATTTTAAACTAGTATTATCAAGAATCTATTACCGCAGTAACCTTCTAAAATTTCAGAATTTAAGTAAGCAGCCTTTAAATATAATTTATTCTAAAAGAAACTTATCTTCTTCTTTCTTCGTTCTTAATTGTATTACTGGAGAGGATTTCCTCCAACACAATTAAGTATTTATGTGTCAACTTGTTATGTGCCATATACAGCTTTGACTGATTTTAGCCTGCTTTTCTTTTTGGATTTGCTTTTGTAGTCTTTGCCTAACCAAGAACAAACTCCATGCCACCATTGTTAGATTTTGGAGTTTTCTCTTCTAGATGAGTTTCTGACCACAGCTATTGTCCCTCATCTACCTGGGGGTTCAAACTTGGAACTTATTGGTTTAGCAACCACACGTTTTACTTGCCTGATGAAATGCAACTGTATAAGAACCTAACAAAAGTTACTCTATACCTAGATCTGACAAGAGAGATGATATTTTTCAATACCACACCTACTGTGCTGGTGTTGTTGAGACTGAGGTTGATGTCCTAACAGGGGAATACCAGGCCAAGAGAGTTGACATAATGGCTGATTTTGGGGAGAGGTAACTCTAAACTTTTTTTTTTGTTGAGAAAAGATTTCTGATACTCAAATATAATTTTAAAAATGTATGTTAAAGTATAGGCTACTCTTCTTTATAATCTGAAGAAATTATACATCCTGACAAAAGAGTAGTTTTGTTGAATTATTCAATTTATTAAAAACCAAACCTTCAAATTTTGTTTTAAAGTATCAAATTTAAAAAAATAATTCAATATTTTTTTTAAAAAACCTTAAACATTAGTTTTACACTATCAAACTTTGATAATTCGAATTTAAAAAAAAAATTTAAACCTAAAATTTTGGATTTACAGTACTGTATCAACCTCTAATAATTTGATTTTGGAAAAAAATGTAAATCTTAAAAATTGTGTTTTACAGTATCAACCCAACTGTTGACATTGGTCAAGTAGAGGGAGCTTTTGTCATGGGCCTTGGTGCATATTTGTCAGAGGACCTTCATTTTGACAAGAAAACTGGCCAGGTCCTTAATGATGGCACATGGGTATGTAAGATACTCCATTTTTTAGATAGATAGTAAATTATGTGTTTGTAGATCAATTTAATTATATATAGATAGTGAATGTAAGACACTCCAATTTCATAAAGAAAATAAATGATTGGTTTGTAAGACACACCATTTGATTAAAGAGAGTGAATGATGCATTCGTAAGAAACTCAGTTTTTTAATGTATAAGACACTCGAATTTCATATGGACAGTGAATCACGTGGGCATGTAAAACCCTGCATTATCATATATAGTGAATAATGGCATTTGAGTATGTAAGACAGATGAAGTAAGAGTTCATCTGATTGGCATTTGCTTGTGAATCGATTGTGTGACCAGTATAATGCAGTGCTCCCAAATTTTCTCTAAACTTTTGAATACAACAATCGTACCCTAGACCAAGATGGGACACATATTGAGACATTTTGGTTAGCTAAACACTGCTGCTCCTCTCTACCATAGCATCCATTGGAAAATTAAACATTGTAATTAAAAATTAAACTTTAAATTTTTTATCTGAAGCTCTGTTGTTTGCCCACCAGGAATACAAACCTCCCACAACAAAAGACATCCCCATAGACTGGAGGATCCACTTCATGCCTGACACACCCAACCCTGTTGGAGTCCTCAGTTCTAAAGGTAGGGAATGTTTAGGGAACATGAAGGGAATATCGGCCTATTGGGAATTATGTAGATATTATGTAGGGGCTAAGCTCTCATAAATACACAGTTGAATTTCTTCCCAAGTATATTAAAACTTCTAAACAATCCCAGACAAAGCTTTACTTACTGAAGAACATATCAACTAACTGAAAGAAAACATCACTGGCAACAAACAAACCACATGTTGAAAACTTTAAACTTTATTTCCTTTGCTTCATTCTGTTTTCTTTCTTAATTCTAAAATGTTTTATTTTTACAATATTTCACAGATATTGAACTAACTTGATAGACCTTGTTTAGCTAAACAATCAGTAGATGACAATAAAACACAGTCATAAATCCTATTTTATACTGCTAAGTTTTGCTTTTCTACTAACTGTAGCTGCGGGAGAACCTCCCATTAGTCTGGCTGTTGGAGCTCTTCTTTCTATCAAGAGTGGAGTGGAGGCAGTCAGAGAAGAGTTGACTGGTGAAAGATCTTTTATCCCTGTTGGTAAGTCCTACAATGTTAACCCTTTTTGTTCTGTTGGTAAATTTAGCATTCTTGGGTACTATGTTGCTGCTGTTTAGTCCTCACAAATGTTAATAAAAATGTCTGTTGATTCTTTAATTTTCAATCAATACATTAAGCTTTTAATCCCGTTGGTGCTAATATTTTTCTAGACCATATTGTTAATTTAAAATTGTAAACACAGTTTTAAAGCAGGGTTCTAAACATGTATGTGATAAATGACTGGTTTTATATTTTGTAAAGTTTAACTGCTGAATAAAAAAATAACTATTACAAGCCTTGCTATGAATATGTAAAACAATACATTTGAATTAAATCACAAATATGATTTCTGATACAGAGGCCCCATACACAGTGGAGAAGGTCCAGCTTAGCTCTGGTATCAACTTGGAACATTTGCGACTCTAGCTGGAAATTTCATTTTCACATCAAATCTTGGATTTCAAGGAATTAGTAGAAAAACTGAGACAAAATTTTCTTTTGTTAAGATTACAGTTCATTACAGCTTTCATATAATCTCACTCATAGTATTTATATTGTTGTTTTTACTTTCAAACTGCATCTTTTTGATGGTTAGCCTATAAAAACCATATATTTTATTTCCCATAATTTTATCAAAAAAAAAGTATTCCCTTTGAATTATATATTTAAATTCTACTATTTGAATAAAGTTTATTAGCATTTTGATTATTATATCAATTGTATTGTCAACTACTGCTAATTAACTCCTCTAAACCCGTTTTTTTAATTTTCTTTTGTTATGTAAATTTTCGTTATATTTTATCAGAAATAAAAATTAGAAGTGGATCAAAATTAAGCTAAAAGATTTGCCACATCCCACAAAATTTTTTTTTTAAATGGCATTGTGATCGAAATAAAAGATTACAAAATAAAAAATAACACGTGTGTGACATTTAATGCAGAATATTCTATTTTAATACTTTAAATCTATTATTTAATACTTTAAATTGATTATTCAAATTTTATATTACAACAATTACCAAACTATTCTTAATGTACAACGTATTCTATGAAACTTAATCCAGTATTATGGTTAAATTAACCAAAAGGGTAATAAAACTTTAATTACTGAGATAATATTCAAATAAATTAGAGTATTTATTGTACACTCTACTGTTGTTGTTGTTGTTTTTTTTTTGTCTCTCTTTATTAAAGTTTTCCAAAAATTAATTAGTTGATTTTATAACTTAACTGTGGCGTTGATTCGCTTTTGTCCTTGCCATTGAATCAAATAAAAACATAATAAGATGTCCTATTGCAAATGGCGTCACATTTGGCCTACAGTAATCTTTCTAAAATTAAGTGCCTATCTGTTTTTTTTTTGTTTTTAAAGAAAAAAAGTGCATAGAAAGTAACTGGTAAGAAGCGCCACAAACCTTTCCAAATGGAGGGGGGGGGGTGCTTTTTCATGAACAGAAATAACTATATATTAATAATATTATATATATTATATAGAAATAGGAGGAAGGGGCGCAAAATTAATAGTTTAATAGTCCGCCCCGAGAGCACAAATAGATCGTTACGCCTCTGACTACAAGTACCCCTGCAGTGCGATTTATATTGTTGGTCAGGAGCATCTTCTACGTCTGCTAGTTCCATGTAACAATGATCTACATCGAGAAAATAAATTTCCTTAGAAATGCTAACACGTTCGTACTGCAACATGGAGATCATGATCTCACATAGGACATGTTCTTATCGTCTGGCGGTCCCACCAAGTCCCGTAACTCTCAAATCTTTGACCTGAATCCCTGTTGCCAGTTGGATTTTTTCTACTGTGAATGGAGCTTCTGGGGAAGTTAAAAAAAATATTTCCCTTGGTAGAAAAACGTACAAACTCACAAGTTTACTATATCATCTTGTTTACAAGATGCGAATGTACGGATATAAATGCGCATTACAGATTGTCCATCCTCTACTTCCCCCCCCCCCCCTCACACACACCATCCTATAAATTACGATGGTGCTCATTTTTTTTTAAATACATGTAAGTCTACATTTGTTTAAAATCAGCAACTAGATACTTATGCATCAATTCGCTGCTAAAAACTTACAACCATTTCAACATTGACAGTAACAATTCACTAATATTGAAATCTTACAACCATTCCAACATTGACTAAGACTGTCTTACCTACGGGGATGAACTCCCTGTGACCAGTGAAGAACTCGCTGACCTCCTCTACACTGTGTTTGATGGCCAGCAGAGCGCCGACAGCCAGACCAATGGGGGGGTTCCCCAACAGCTGGGGAGAGGAAACATTGGGTAAGTACTTACATATTAAGGTATGTAAGCCTTTGGCACACTTGTATCTTTAGGTGTGTGTTGGGTCAGAATTCCACAAGCATATATTCACTAGATAATTACAGGGTACACCGTAGGGATGGACAGTAGGTGACGCGTTCAAAGAGACTGACCGCTCTGACAGGACAATAGTAGTCTTTATACTGACCAGTAGCCAGGGGCATAATTTGTTGGGTCACAATTTTTGAGCCCATTGTCCCGTGGGAATAGCTAAGGGGTTAGAACAGGGTTATAAACACAGGCAGGTTAGTTAGCCTCGCTCTCTCGCAAAAGTGCTCCCGACGTAAGCCGTTAGGGGAAAGCCTCGCTCATAAGAACAAGCATGTATTGAATTAATAAACAACATAAACTAAGAAGGTCTCCTGTCCCGTTGTATATTTTACTGTAGCTGACTCGGGTAGAATTATTAAATACCCCTAGACAACGACGGCCTTATTGGCTAGTGCCCTAGTCAGTGTCAGCAACATATTCGGCCGGCGATTAGGCATCCGGACTGCAACATTGTAGTCCGGTCTGCAACAGTGTGTTGACATTTAACACACTTACATGAACAGGTGTGTCAACAATAATTTGACACACTTGTGTGCGAACTTTAGACACAGGCTTTCAACAGCTCGGGTGTTTCTTTCAGCATTTGTCTTTTGAACTCCCAACCTCACACCTTCTACACTGAACACATTTATCATAAGCTCTCTGTGTTTCCTTTTAAGCTCACCGTCCCGTTCGACGCTGCACTTAATTTAACACACATAAAAGTAAAGTTCCGCTCAAAAATTAGGGGCTAGTGAAGTAGAGCACCTGTTTCTGTGACCTCGGCATATGAAGGTATGATGTGGTCGCACTATGCCCAGCCGCCTTTAGTTTCCCTAACGTGAGTTAGGTACACATCAGAGCAAGGTGAACTCTGGGACTTTGTACGTTCTTGAACCTGGATTCGAACTCAAGACTTTCGGGTTAGCAGTCGTATTCTCTACGATTCGAATACTCCGTCCCATAACACACATACATAGTGTTCGCTAAATCACCTACCCTTTGAGCTGACAATCCCCACAGCGTTCGGGGCATCAGGCAACAAGTGGATCCTCCAGTCTATGGGAATGTCTTTTGTTGTGGGAGGTTTGTATTCCTGTGGAGGGAGTGGATGCCTTGTTTTTGAACTGAGAACTTTGCATCAGTCATCTCATGCTAAGCGGGGCAACCATAAATGTAGTCACACCGCAAACGCGCGCGCGGGGGGGGGGGGAGGTGTATATGACAACTCCTAAGTATATTTTAATCAAGAATGAAGTAAGATTTAAAGCTATTGTTAAGATAAGAATTAGATTTGAAGTTATTGTTCACTATGAGGTACAAGTTTGCAATCGCTTGTGATTCAAACCTCGACAAAACCGACTCTTATATAATACCCTAACATAACCCTCACCCAGCAATCCTCTATTGACTCCAAATTTCACCAGAAAAACTAACTCACCCAAGTGCTGTCATTGATGACAGTACCTGTCTTGCTGTCATACAGGACATTTTCTAGAAGATACGCACCAAGCCCCATAACAAAGGCCCCTTCAATTTGTCCTATATCGATGGTAGGGTTCATGCTGGTTCAGATAGAACAGGAATATTGAGGAGGTTATCACAGCAAAAAAAAAATATCACAACTAAAACACTGTTGTTCAATTGGACAGAATTCAAGCTTTGCATTTTTATTCAAGTATCTGAACATAATATCTAAATTAAAACACTCAAACATTAATTACCGATATCTAAAAATCAGTTTTCAAACTCAAATATGCTTATCATTAGCTATTGCAATATTATTATTTCATTCAAACAACACATTATGAATAGCCTATATCACCTATGAAGTCAAATGTTACCTGTCCCCAATGTCCGCCATGATGTTACCTGTCCCCTATGTTCGCCATGATGTTACCTGTCCCCAATGTCCACTATGTTACCTGTCCCCTATGTCCGCCATGATGTTACCTGTCCCCTATGTCCGCCATGATGTTACCTGTCCCCAATGTCCGCCATGATGTTACCTGTCCCCAATGTCCACTATGTTACCTGTCCCCTATGTCCGCCATGATGTTACCTGTCCCTTATGTCCGCCATGATGTTACCTGTCCCCAATGTCCGCCATGATGTTACCTGTCCCCAATGTCCGCCATGATGTTACCTGTCCCCAATGTCCACTATGTTACCTGTCCCCTATGTCCGCCATGATGTTACCTGTCCCTTATGTCCGCCATGATGTTACCTGTCCCCTATGTCCGCCATGATGTTACCTGTCCTCAAAGTCCGCCATGATGTTACCTGTCCCCTATGTCCGCCATGATGTTACCTGTCCCCTATGTCCGCCATGATGTTACCTGTCCCCAATGTCCGCCATGATGTTACCTGTCCCCAATGTCCGCCATGATGTTACCTGTCCCCAATGTCCACTATGTTACCTGTCCCCAATGTCCGCCATGATGTTACCTGTCCCCAATGTCCGCCATGATGTTACCTGTCCCCTATGTCCACTATGTTACCTGTCCCCAATGTCCGCCATGATGTTACCTGTCCCCAATGTCCAGTATGTTACCTGTCCCCAATGTCCGCCATGATGTTACCTGTCCCCAATGTCCGCCATGATGTTACCTGTCCCCAATGTCCGCCATGATGTTACCTGTCCCCAATGTCCGCCATGATGTTACCTGTCCCCTATGTCCGCCATGATGTTACCTGTCCCCAATGTCCACTATGTTACCTGTCCCCTATGTCCGCCATGATGTTACCTGTCCCTTATGTCCGCCATGATGTTACCTGTCCCCAATGTCCGCCATGATGTTACCTGTCCCCAATGTCCAGTATGTTACCTGTCCCCAATGTCCGCCATGATGTTACCTGTCCCTTATGTCCGCCATGATGTTACCTGTCCCCAATGTCCGCCATGATGTTACCTGTCCCCAATGTCCAGTATGTTACCTGTCCCCAATGTCCGCCATGATGTTACCTGTCCCCAATGTCCGCCATGATGTTACCTGTCCCCAATGTCCGCCATGATGTTACCTGTCCCCAATGTCCAGTATGTTACCTGTCCCCAATGTCCGCCATGATGTTACCTCTCCCCAATGTCCGCCATGATGTTACCTGTCCCCAATGTCCGCCATGATGTTACCTGTCCCCAATGTCCACTATGTTACCTGTCCCCTATGTCCGCCATGATGTTACCTGTCCCTTATGTCCGCCATGATGTTACCTGTCCCCAATGTCCGCCATGATGTTACCTGTCCCCTATGTCCGCCATGATGTTACCTGTCCCCTATGTCCGCCATGATGTTACCTGTCCCCAATGTCCAGTATGTTACCTGTCCCCAATGTCCACTATGTTACCTGTCCCCTATGTCCGCCATGATGTTACCTGTCCCCAATGTCCGCCATGATGTTACCTGTCCCCTATGTCCGCCATGATGTTACCTGTCCCCAATGTCCAGTATGTTACCTGTCACCTATGTCCGCCATGATGTTACCTGTCCCCTATGTCCGCCATGATGTTACCTGTCCCCTATGTCCGCCATGATGTTACCTGTCCCCTATGTCCGCCATGATGTTACCTGTCCCCTATGTCCGCCATGATGTTACCTGTCCCCTATGTCCACTATGTTACCTGTCCCCTATGTCCGCCATGATGTTACCTGTCCTCAAAGTCCGCCATGATGTTACCTGTCCCCTATGTCCGCCATGATGTTACCTGTCCCCAATGTCCGCCATGATGTTACCTGTCCCCTATGTCCGCCATGATGTTACCTGTCCCCAATGTCCAGTATGTTACCTGTCACCTATGTCCGCCATGATGTTACCTGTCCCCTATGTCCGCCATGATGTTACCTGTCCCCAATGTCCACTATGTTACCTGTCCCCAATGTCCGCCATGATGTTACCTGTCCCCAATGTCCACTATGTTACCTGTCCCCTATGTCCGCCATGATGTTACCTGTCCCCAATGTCCGCCATGATGTTACCTGTCCCCTATGTCCGCCATGATGTTACCTGTCCCCAATGTCCACTATGTTACCTGTCCCCTATGTCCGCCATGATGTTACCTGTCCCCTATGTCCGCCATGATGTTACCTGTCCCCTATGTCCGCCATGATGTTACCTGTCCCCAATGTCCACTATGTTACCTGTCCCCTATGTCCGCCATGATGTTACCTGTCCTCAAAGTCCGCCATGATGTTACCTGTCCCCTATGTCCGCCATGATGTTACCTGTCCCCAATGTCCGCCATGATGTTACCTGTCCCCAATGTCCACTATGTTACCTGTCCCCTATGTCCGCCATGATGTTACCTGTCCCTTATGTCCGCCATGATGTTACCTGTCCCCTATGTCCGCCATGATGTTACCTGTCCCCTATGTCCGCCATGATGTTACCTGTCCCCAATGTCCGCCATGATGTTACCTGTCCCCTATGTCCGCCATGATGTTACCTGTCCCCTATGTCCGCCATGATGTCCACTCTCTTGACCAGGTACTCCCCCGTGAGGACATCGACCTCCGTCTCCACAGCTCCCGTCATGTAGGTAAAATACACGGTAGGGTCGCCATGGTGGAAGTGGCTGTAGATCACGTGATACATTTTAGGTTTGTCACACCCTCATCATAAGTTCATTTAGTCTAGTTACAAACTAAACATATGACTAATTCCATAAGTAGCTCACGTAAGGTTCGATCTACCTAACAGTCACAAAAGGCACCGTTTTAGAAAAATCTATAAGTCAGTATAAACATTCTTTATAGGAAACATTGGACAAAGTAAGTAAGAAACAGAGGCGTATCCAGGTTTTCGTTGTAGGGGGAGCGAAAAGAGCAAAAAAAAAAAGGCGCCGAATTTTTAACACGTTCTATATACGTGTATTAGATATATATATATATATATATATATATATATATATATATATATATATATATATATATATATATATATATATATATACATATATATATATAAAATTACTAGCTGTATGTCATTACTTCGTTATGATATAGATCTAAATTAAATTGAAAGTAGCACTCAGAAGAAATAAGAAAAAATCACACAACATAGGCCGACAAAACAAAAGTTGTATCAATCTAAACAAAAAAAAATATATGCACACACTACAACCAAAAACAATGAACGTAACACAATGTTTTGTAATTCTTGAAAAAAAATTCTTACATAATAATTCCTGGGAAATTATTTAAGACAAGTGAAATAGGGGAAATAATCACTCTCTTAATATAAATATGTATATATCTGTATCTAATTATAAATGTCATAACAAATAAATAATTACTTTAGAATATAAATTAAATTGTTTAACACTATTCGTGTTTGCAAAATGTTTTTGTCTATAATCTAAGTTTAATATATCGTCATCATAAATGCTAAAGTATTACAGCATAATGAAAGTTTTTAAAATCAGAGTTGGTATAAAACCACGCTTTTCGATGTAGTTGAACACCATTCTGAATAACTGTCTACATTTAACTAAATGATGGTGTTTTAGTTCAGGTCATATAGTTATGTGTACTATGTGTTCTTTAAAGATCATTTTTACTGGTAATTGCAAAAACAATATTCACAGAGTTTTACGTTTAAAAGCTAATTTTATGGCGGCATGGTACTTTGATACATAATTACGCGTTTTTCTACATGTACTTAACAGATCAGTTCGGGGTGGGTTGGGGTGGGGTGGGTTCAACTTCATTCACCACAGTCCGGTCACTTTAGGTCAATAATTATCCAACACAGTGTATACCTAGGTGTGACATTAATGTCGCTCTACACAATTGTGGTGGTGAGGTGTTTGTGTGTGGGGGGGGGGGGGGAGATAACCAACTCAGAGTGAACATAGCGTCAGTTTTTAGATGACTGTTCTAAACATACATAGATATTACACAAATATATATTACACAAATATATATTACAGAAATAGATTTAAATAACTAGCAGTGGTATTATGACAATATTTTTTTTTTTACAGAAGGGTCCATGGGGGAGGGATTTTGTAACTGTTTCATATAATTTGTAATCGTAATCACTATCGCCCAAACTGTAAGAATACTACTACTTCATCGTGATGACGTTGATGACATTGTCAAAATTTCCCCACCACTACGCAGTTCGCCCATAAGTAAATCTAAATAGAGGTGCCACATCAGTTGTATTTGTTTCTGTATTGTAATTTTTTAAAAATTAATCACACGATTCAAACTGTATATATATAAAGTAATTATGTGTGAAGTTTTATGTATAACATTTTCTAATTCAATTATTCGTAAGCAAATACATTATACAGTTGCCTTAAACTTAACACCCCTCTTGCCAAGTGGTACTACCGTAGAGGTTTTTTAAACATTGCAATGCATCGTAATGGTTATTTTTAGAATGGCAAACTGATGCAGCTGTTAATACGTGTTGTAAACGTAGACACTACTAGACTAGTACAATAATGCTTAATTGCTGCATGAAAAGAAATCTTGTGATTTACATAGATGTGCCGACCAAAAATATTTTTTTAACAAATATCATTGTTTAAAACTTTGAGTTTAAAAAAGTTTCCAAAAAGGCGCCACTATGCTGAAAATGGCCAGAGGGGGAGCGGCCGCTCCCCCTGTTCCCCTCCCCCCCCCCCCCCCCCTGCGTACGCTAGTGGTAAGAAACTTCGTTTCTTTTGTTATGGAAAGCGAGATTTATCTCGAGGTCCATAAACATCACCACCCAACGCCAATAGAAAAACAGATTTGTTCAGCCCCCCCCCCCCTTCCTCCTCTTTTCTCATTCTCTGACCTGTAGGTCCACCGTCGCCATCGTACGCTGTGGGCTCTATAGACAGCCCCGCAACTCTTCAACTTTGAGAAATTCAAATTTAGATTTAACCTTGACCTTTTGACCTTACGTGTTGGTGGCCTGCAGCTCCACCCTGGCCAGATAGGCGGCAGATACCAGACTTGTCCAGGAGGCGTCAGGCAGTTTCTCCCTCAGCGGTGCCAGACGTTCGTTGATGATGTGGCAGGCCTCGATGGCAGCCTGAGGGTAAGTCGTCAACAATGTTAGGCAGTTGTCAATGTTACACTGTGTTCTCGTTAGTGTGTAATACGTTAGACAGTCAGTTGTAATGTTAAATGTTATCCTTGTTAGTGTGTAATACGTTAGTCAGTTGTAATGTTGAAGTGTGTTCTTGTTAGTGTGTAGCATGTCAGCCAACTGTCAATTTTGAGATAGTTTTAAGTTAGGACAAATGTTTAACTTACTGCAAAGATTTGACCGGCGAGGCTGTGACTTACCCCCATGAAACCTCTTCCTAGGGTGTTTTATCTTACCCCCACACCTCTACCTAGGGGTGTTTTAACTTACCGCAAGACACCTCTCACTGAGGCTGCTGTACTTTACACTAACACACCTCTCACTGGGTTATTTGACTTACCTCCAACACACCTCCATCAGGGGGTGTTTTAACTTACCCTAACACACCACTGCCAGGGGTGTTTTAACCTACCCCAAAACACCTATACCTGGAGGTGTTTTAACTTACCCAAACACACCTCTAACTGGGGGTATTTTAACTTACCCCAACACACCTCTACCTGGGGTGTTTTAACTTACCACACACCTCTACCTGGGGTGTTTTAACTTACCCCAACACCTCTACCTGGGGGTGTTTTAACTTACACCAAAACGCCTCTACCTGGGGGTATTTTAACTTACCCCAACACACCTCTCACTCGTTGTACTGTACCCAGACATCCAGGCATTAGCAGTGACGTTGTTCTGGTTGGGTCTCACCTTGATGAAGTCCAGACTTATCCTGAGGGTGTGGGCCACCGCCTGGGCTACCTGTCAACCAATCAGTGAGACTCTCTCAACTATATTTTTAGACACTACTTGTATATTACTTAACAGGCAAGAAACATTTTCGTATGTAACCGATCAACAGTATGCCCAGCCGCCTTTTCTTCAGGGACCTTCTACTGACTTGAACAGGGGGCTTTCGGGTAAGCAGTCGTACTCTCTACCATCCTACATCTCAGAACATGGAACCAACTTTAAAGAGCCTGGAAGAAACTCTAGTTGGAGGATTGAGGAAATACTGGCACCAAGATAAAATTAGCTCCTGTCAGCTGTCAGAATTCTTACCGTCGTGTAGAGTCCTTGCCCCATCTCTACACCAGAGGTCATCACAGTTACCGTACCAGATTTACCTTCGTGTAGAGTCCTTGACCCATCTCTACACCAGAGGTCATCACAGTTACCGTGCCGTCACCACAAAACACAGAAACGTGAGTGGACAGCCCAGGAGGGAACCACTGCATGCAGTACTTTACGGCACTCATGGTCAGGCCTCTCTTGCGCCACAGATTGTTCTGAAAATATGTTTTAAAGTATTTCAATTATTTATTTTTGTTAATGTATCAGTTCTCTGTGTTAATATAAAAAAAACAAATATTAGGCAAATCCGCTTATATCACACACAGACACGGTATCAATTGTATTATTTTTAAACAAAAATGATAAGAAAAAAAAATCCAGCCGTACAGAGATTAAATACGCATGTAGTATTGAGTGTGTTTTTTTCTCCGGGGAGGGGCAATTAAAATTTGTCAAGGGGGGGGGGCGGACTATATTATTCGGGAGAGGAGACGGAAACTCGTAAAAGCATATATTTCCTATATAAATACTATTTCGTTCAGGGGGGGATACTTTCTTCAGGGGGGGGGGGCTACGCCTGAAAGAAACTCAATTGAGCACTCTGTCTTTCGTGTGTATATAAGATCTTGTCTATGACCAGTTGATGAAAGGCACATGTCAATGTCCTGTCAACAAATTACCTTATTAAACCTCTTGACGTCATCAATCCTGGCGCTGACCTCAGCCGTCTGCTTCAACCTGACCCAGAGCTGTCGCAGTGTACAGTTGACAAGCTCGTGACCTTCTAGGTCGTGCTGGAAACACAACGGTGGGTTTCGTTCGTTAGGGTGACCGGACAAATAAACTCGACCAGCAAAATGTGATGATAACATTAGATACGTGCAAGCGGAGATGGGACGTGGTTTACAAAAATATCAATGTTGTGAGTTGTATTCAAGGAAGCTGTGCCAAGTACTATTTATAGAAATTTAAAACTTCCGGTTTAGAATTACCTGCCCCTGCTGGTATATGTTGACCTCTTTAAACAACACCGGGTGCCAGTTGAGTTCCTTGGCCAGGTGTTCCAGCACGGTTTCCATTATCAGAGCGGCTGGCACGGCGCCTGGAATAAAATAAAAACTTTGGTCAAATAGCTTGGGAAAACTGTGTGTTGTGTGATGTAAATCTCTGGTGAGTATATAACAACAGTGATCTGTGCAGATATCGAACAATTTAAACGCAGACGGAGGACAAAGATCCCTTTAATGGACGCGATTTTAAAATGTCATCAACACTAGGTAATTTCCTTGTCTTAAATATATTAAAAAATCGTTGTTTTTTTTTTTGTTACTGGAAGTAGGGTATGTGTTGACTGAGGACAAAGACGTTCATAAATTAAAAAAATTAAATTCATTGCTTCATAGTCGGATAGTCTATTGGAGGATAGCTCATTGAAAAACGAGGCACAAATCATGGGTAGCAAGTTCAGAAGTCATGTGAGCCCATGTATCAGGCTCCCCCTCTCCACACAGTTGATGGACACAAGGGAGAGGCATTACTTTTACAACTTGGCATCAGCTGTGTCGCAAGGAAAGAAACAAGAGTTTGTAATCTTATCGTTTAAGGGTTCCCACTTCTGTTTACTGAGTTTTTGCTCCTATGCGTATTGCTGTCCCTAGCTAACGATCCTCATCTACTCGAGGATTCGAACTCGGGACTTTTTATGTTAGCCGCTGTACATTTCTCGCCCAACCTCACCGACCTGTAGGTACTTTTTTAGGTAATTTATTCCTATAAAATAAAAATCGTTTGCTTTGGCTTGTCAGAGACCGTTTACCTGGCCCTCTGGTGGCTGCCCCTACAGCTTTGTTGGTCCTCATCTGCTGCAGTCGGACTTGCCAGTTTGGGCAGAAATAACCTGCCATGTTTAAATAACAGCGGTTAACAACAAGAAATGCTTCACCTGGTCTAGGAAAGATTGGTTCATTTCTATCTAAAAGATTTGCTCTGAACATTAAATGTTAACAATTATATGATACGTTAATATATTTTGAACATATAATGGATATTCTAAAACATTTCGTCATTATTTAGTCAGGTAAATGCACCCACCGGCATCTAGCAGAGGTACCAAGTCAAACACCATGGGGGTCGGCCTGACCCCAGCGTCCACAAAGATGTCCACGACAATCGCCTGAAGCTTGCCATCCCGACCACATCCTGCCTGAAACACAGACGGGTTTCTAATGCCTCGAGTGTGTAATGGAACGGGATTAGACGTGTTTCTACCTTGTACCTAAAGACCTACCTTGTACCTAAAGACCTACCTTGTACTTAAAGACCTGCCTTTTACTTAAAGACATACCTGTTATTTAAAGACCTACCCTGTACCTAAAGACATACCCTGTACCTAAAGACCTACCCTGTACCTAAAGACCTACCCTGTACCTAAAGACCTACATTGTACTTAAAAACCTACCTTGTACCTAAAGACCTACATTGTACTTAAAGACCTACCTTGTACTTGACGTAGATAGGAAATCTTTTGCTGTTGAACTTGATGTTTGTTGACATGTCTACATTCAGCCTGACTGGTCTAGTTAAATAGAAACTCATTGGTAAAGAAAGGTTGGCTTTTGGGTCACTGTTTATGTGGGCTATTTTTAGACCTAGTTATAAATAGATCAGTGGATCTTGCCTTCCGGTCACGTGGGTAGCCAGGGCCGCCGCTGAGCCTACTGCGCATGAGTGAACCATCTTGCCGCCAAATCCTCCACCAAGACGAGGCACTATCACATTGAGGCTGAGGGAAAGAAGAATTTTGAATTAGACACACGTTTGATGAAAGTTAATGTTCTCACTTTCTGATTGGTCGGTCTAGCTAATGGTCTCACTTTCTGATTGGTCGGTCTAGCTAATGGTCTCACTATCTGATTGGTCGGTCTAGCTAATGGTCTCACTATCTGATTGGTCGGTCTAGCTAATGGTTTCACTATCTGACTGACTGGTCTCACTTACTAGTTCATCGGTCGACCCAGCACCTGGGCAGCGGATCTCTGGACGAGGTCGGCGGCTTGGGTCGTGCAGTAAAGGTCAAGGCCGTCCTCTGAAGGAACGCAGAGAGCAGCCTGCAACAAGCTCCATAACATATACATTTGGTTATATTTCAAGATTACCATCACACCTCACATCCTGGCCCAGAATATCAAACTTTTGTTCTATTTACACCTCAGGTGAGCCGCCTTACCAAATGTTTCTTCCAGACATTTTTCAGGGGGGGGGGCACTTGATATTTTCGGAGGGGGCGGACTAAATTTTCCAGGGGAGGGGGGTTAGTTTTCTATATGAATTCCATTTCGTACGGGGAAGAGGGGGGGGTGGCGGCGGTAGACTTTCTTCGGTGGGGCAGTACCCCCCCACCCCCCCACCCCAACCCCCAGAAGAGATGCATGGAAGAAACTCTGGCCATACCTGGTTCTCTATGTAACAGTGGTACTGGGTGCCTTGCTTCACCGTGCCTTCCACCGTCACGTCACTCAGCTCAAGGGCAGCTACAGCATGAATATAATGCAATTTTATTCACAACATGGGATTGAAAAATATAAAAACAAAAATGCGAAAAAAAAGTTCGACGAAAATATCTAAATGACAAATTTCGCACTGAAAAAAATCGCATTGAAACCGTGCTTGACATAAACTTAAGATAGACAAACGAAATAAGATGATAACGTACAACAATATTTCAGACCCACCTTTTGGGTCACCAACAATTTTCTCCATAGTGACGTCAGAAAAGACCGTGTTTTTATCAATGGCATCTTCCAGGTGGAGTATTGGCTCCTGCACGTGAGTGTAGGTGACTTTTATCTTCCTCGCTGCCTCCTCGGCTAGTGCTAGAGTGTCTGAACACAAGGTTTAGACTCTTAGAGTAATTTAGATTAGGAAGATTTTAACTACTTGATTTATCTCGGCGCTTTATGTATCCAGATGTTCTAGCTTATATTGTAAAAGTGTTGTGTTTTTAATTGGATTGTTTAGTTAGAAACAATGCAGGCTGATTTTAAAAATTATTAGAGTACGTGGGTTTTATTTGTTTCTTTTCTTTCTTATTTTTTTAAAAATAACATTAATAAAATATTGGTTTGGAGGGACGTAACAAATTGTTTAACATCATAGGCAGTGCCTAAAAGCTGTCATAGTACATTTCCCTTTCAAACTTGACGATCTACGGGGTAAGTGAAGTAGAGTTCACTTGTTTCTATGACCTCGGCATATTAGTGTGGTCAGCACTAAGTCCAACCGCCTTTACTTACCCTAACGTGAGTTAGGTACCCATCAGAGCTGGGTGGACTTAGGGACGGTCTACTGACTTGAACCCGGATTCGAACTCGAGACTTACTGGTTAAAGCAGTCATAGACAGTATAAATATTTCTATAAGGTATACAAGTGATACTAGGAAAAAAAGATACAACACATTGGACAACTTGGTGGTCGACAAAACCAGTGATGTCATCAGTTTATGTGTAGAGTTCTTGCGTTCAGTATTCTCTGATTCCGATTCACAACTGACATCAGAGAGTCTTCAGTGGACTCAGTACTTAGACAGTCTTATCTCGATGTGTTATGTATTGCGTTTTTCGCTTCACCCGTATACATTGTCAAAATCTGCGCCAAAATGTACAAAACTTACCAGCTCATACAAACCTTAAACTAAACCTAAAGGAAACCTACCGGCTAACACAATCCCAATAGCTTGACCTGCATACTCCACGTATCTTGATGCAAATAACTGAAAAGTTAAAATAAACTATTAAGTTTGGCCATTTTTCACCATTTAACAGTATGGACATACATTAAGACAGCCAATAATACAGTTTTAGGATCGTCCTGTAGGGGCATAATGGGTGACTGCTGCCAACAAGTCGACACGGGCTGTTGCGTTCTTGCGTTGATGCAAATAACTGAAAAGTTAAAATAAACTATTAAGTTTGGCCATTTTTCACCATTTAACAGTATGGACATACATTAAGACAGCCAATAATACAGTTTTAGGATCGTCCTGTAGGGGCATAATGGGTGACTGCTGCCAACAAGTCGACACGGGCTGTTGCGTTCTTGCGTTGAGCTAATCTATCTATAGAAATACACTAGTCGTGTAAAATGTGGAATCTAGTCATCAAACCGTGGTCATTGTGATCTTGCGAAAACGACCCAACAAAGTAACCTAGAATTATTGGTTTCCAGAGATCCCGACAAAATAAACCGTTCAAAATAGCCGAGAAAAATTAGCCCTGACAAAATGCTCCTGAGCACGACCGATGACATATTAGCTCCCGACAAACAGGGCCGGCGCTACCTATAAGGCGAACTAGGCGGTCGCCTAGGGCGCCATCCCTAAGGGGGCGCAAAAGGTTTTATAGCTATTACCAAAAATTACCTAATAATTAAATTTTTATAAGAAGTAGCGATCTATTGCGGCACCCATGACGAACTATCAATTTCGCACCCCCACCCCAAAATTAGGTCTATATAGGCCTATATTTATTTGCGATAGTGAAAAAGCAAACCCATCTCCCTAATTTGGAAAGGTCGGGGCGCTTTTTACCAGTCACTTTGCCTTTTTTATTGGTGTCACATAATTGATGTAGAAAACGATTAAATAAGTTCTTAATTTAAATTTCGAACATTTCAAACGGTTATCTAATTTTAATAGGGCCTTTAAGTCTCGTTTTCTCTGACTTTGAATTAGAAATTTGTCCTGGTGTATAGAGTTTTGTAATGACGGGGTTTTCAAAGTATTGTCACTTGTTTTGGTAAGTTTTGATGAATTGTTTAGATTAGGAAGTAACGGTGGAAGGCTGTTACTGATATGATTTCATAGGTATAAAGTATCCAAGTGTTAAAATTTCATAGTTTGTATTAGGCTGTTATGTAGATGAAGGTCTAGTGGAATCTGATTGGTAATAGAGAAATGAGAATGCAGGTGATGAAGTATCGTAGTTCTGGAGTTCGGGAGTATTGGTTCTTGTGGTATAAAGGAATCGAATTATATTGACTGTTAAAGTGTAGTAGTAGGTCAAATTTCAAATTTATTCAAATTTATTCAAATTTATTCATTCAAATTTATTCAAACAACGGTTACAATTGTAGGCACAAAGGCCTTTTTTCACATTGGCCGTTTAAACAAATAAAACACTTCAATAACATAGCACTAAAAATGTGGAATAAAGAAACAATGGTACATAGCTATCATACATAATGAGATAAAAAAGAGAATATAATAGATGAATGAGAAATGTTACAATGAGTCAGTTAGGTCATTAAATAATTTTAGTTTTAGTTTAGATTTGAATATATTTTCAGATCTAGATAGCAGTGAAATAGTGAAATAGTCGGTACTTGGGCAGTGGCAAGCAAGGAATTGTTTGCAACGGGGCTGGTCGCAGCACGGCTGTGGGGCAGGGGCTGGTGCCCAATCGGCTGTCAGCTGTCCGTATACTCTCTACTCCACCTACTCGCATTGTTCTCCGATGAGTGTTTTTATCCTGTTTAAAGTTGTTTTTCTTTACAGTATAATATTTTTTTGAGATTTGAAAATGAAATGATATTATTGTTATTATTTGAGCATGGAGCTGAAGAGCCGCATCTTGACATCAATGGAACCGCAGGTTGCCACCCCCTGTTCGAGTAATGTCTAAAACAGTTACCCGTGTTTGAATTTTTTGAAAGGCGTCCCTTAATTTAGGGGATCCAAAATTTTAATATACGTAGCAGTAGTCCGCACACTATTGGATGTATGTCATCACAATTGAATAAAAAATGTTATAATAAAGCTAATGTCTTTAGACTTTCAAACAAAACCTACAGTTAAGTACTCAATAGGTAAAATATATTTTACATTCTACATATTTATTAGAAAAGATTTGTTGTGTTTATTACGAAATGAAATTTAGAGTGTTTTATTGTGTTTTTTAAACATGTCTTAGTTACACTTAGTTACTTTAGCAATTCTTGCTAAAGTTATTTCCCTTGAATAAAATTTTATTTGGATTTTCCAATGGGAGATAATTTGTTGCTTAACTTTACATTCATTTCAAATTCCTGCACCTTAGGATGACAGCTTACATATAAATACAACTTTAAGTTATTATTTGTTGTTGTAAAAATTATATAGATCTTAAGTTCTAGGTAGGTTTTTTTTTAGCATTATCAAGTTGAAAAACAAATACATCAGTAGCCGATGTAGATTGCAATACTTAATGTTAGTAGACATACAGTCTTAGTCGTAAATTAAACATCTAATTAATTGTTTTTTTTTCATATTTTTTACCCTCTCCTAAAGGATTCATATATAACAATTTTAGGCTGGAATCTACAATATTTATAACCTTTATTTTTCAAAAACCAAAAAATCGTTACATAATTACACAATATAGACATCTTACAATTATAACTAAAAACAGTCAAGCTTAAAAGATGTAAGTTCCGTTCTGGAACTCACCTTGGGAGGTCTGCAGAGAGCCCAACACTACAAGAATTATTTTTTTCGGTGGATTTTTGCCAGACTTTTTTTCTCCCGGGAGGGGGAGGGGGGGGGGGGGCACTTAAAATTTTTTAAGGGGAGGGGGGGCTATGTCGTAAAATACAAAGTAGACTCGTGGACTTAGCACCAATTTCAATAATGTGATTACGCTTGCAAACTGGAATTGAAGGAATTAGTACAAACTTTTGAGACAAAGAAGGCAAGTAAAATTAGATTTTGATGTCTACTTATAACGTGTATGCCATTGATAATAAATTAATACGTCATTTTTTATTAATTGTTTTCTTACACATATGTTTTAGTAATTAATTTGTGTGAAAGGGGGCGTTTTAATAAGTTTTGCCTAGAGCGCTAAATAACCTGGCGCCGGCAATGCCTACAAAAGAATATATTGCTCCTAATTTGGGAAAAATGAATGAACCAATTTCACCCTTTTAAGAAAAGCATGAACCTACCTCTTCCTCCCAGTTGGGAAACATAAACCTACCTCTTCCTCTCAGTTGGGAAACATAAACCTACCTCTTCCTCCCAGCTGGGAAACATAAACCTACCTCTTCCTCCCAGTTGGGAAACATAAACCTACCTCTTCCTCCCAGTTGGGAAACATAAACCTACCTCTTCCTCCCAGTTGGGAAACATAAACCTACCTCTTCCTCCCAGTTGGGAAACATAAACCTACCTCTTCCTCCCTGTTGGGAAACAAAACCTACCTATTCCTCCCAGTTGGGAAACATAAACCTACCTCTTCCTCCCAGTTGGGAAACATAAACCTACCTCTTCCTCCCAGTTGGGAAACATAAACCTACCTCTTCCTCCCAGTTGGGAAACATAAACCTACCTCTTCCTCCCAGTTGGGAAACATAAACCTACCTGTTCCTCCCTGTTGGGAAACAAAACCTACCTCTTCCTCCCAGTTGGGAAACATAAACCTACCTCTTCCTCCCAGTTGGGAAACATAAACCTACCTCTTCCTCCCAGTTGGGAAACATGAACCTACCTCTTCCTCCCAGTTGGGAAACATGAACCTACCTCTTCCTCCCAGTTGGAAAACATAAACCTACCTCTTTCTCCCAGAATGGAAACATAAACCTACCTCTTCCTCCCAGTTGGGAAACATAAACCTACCTCTTCCTCCCAGTTGGGAAACATAAACCTACCTTTTCCTCCCAGTTGAGAAACATAAACCTACCTCTTCCTCCCAGTTGGGAAACTAAAACCTTCCTCTTCCTCCCAGTTGGGAAACATAAACCTACCTCTTCCTCCCAGTTGGGAAACATAAACCTACCTCTTCCTCCCAGTTGGGAAACATAAACCTACCTCTTCCTCCCAGTTGGGAAACAAAAAATATTCAGGGATGTAATTGTTGATGCCATCTTCAGGTAGGTCACTGGCTCCCAAAAATGCCACCACACCCGGTATTTTCTGACAATACCAGTAAAAAAAAAGTCAGAACCGGATGCAAATATTTTATTTAAAAAAAAAAAAAACAGGAATAACATATATAAACAGCAGTGGAAGCTACTGTTTTGAATCAAGATTGTATTTGCTCTCAACTTATAGATCTAGTAACTGAGCATTCATTAGGTTTAATAACGCGTCATCCGATCTAAAATAATTTTATATTAAAAAAAATCTTTAAAAATAATGACTTAGATTTTTTTTTAAATACTAGCCATAGCGTGTAATTTACACTGACCAACGCGGAGGTTGTCCCCCCAGATTTTTTAAAATGCTAGCCATAACGTGTAATTTACACTGACCAACGCGGAGGTTGTCCCCCAGATTTTTTAAAAATGCTAGCCATAACGTGTAATTTACACTGACCAACGCGGAGGTTGTCCCCCAGATTTTTTAAAAATGCTAGCCATAACGTGTAATTTACACTGACCAGCGCGGAGGTTGTGTCCACCTGTTGGATGACCCCGACAGCAACATCCGCCACCAACAGAACAGCCTGCAGTTCCTGGCTGTAGCCGGGCAGGTCGTTGATGTAAACAGCCTCGCCTGACGCCTGTTGGAATCACAGGTAGGAATCACAGGTAGAAATCACAGTTAGAAATCACAGGTAGAAATCACAGGTAGAAATCACAGGTAGAAATCACAGGTAGAAATCACAGGTAGAAATCACAGGTAAAAATCACAGGTATAAATCACAGGTAGAAATCACAGGTAGAAATCACAAGTAGAAATCACAGGTATAAATCACAGGTAGAAATCACAGGTAAAAATCATAGGCATATCATTCCCACCGCTCGTGTATTTATAGAAAAACCTCACACGTTTCATGACGCCCCCCCCCCACCCCGTATTATACTTATAACGATCACCCCGTCCTTTGAACTCTACCTACACCATCGTACATGGCCAACTTTTTATTTTATTTCTTGTTGTGTTACAGACATTGTCCCTGAGCCCTTTAGCGGCTTACAAACAACAACAAAAACAACAATAAAAAACATGGCTCCTTTTGAAATTCGCTGAAGATTGTACAGCATACATGACAAAGATAGTCGATAAACACTGAACAGATTATATATTAAAACTGTAGTTGGAAAAATGAAAGCAAGCAGCTTTTATGGAAATAAATTATAGTTGGTATATATTGAACAGATTATATATTAAAACTATTGTTAAAATACTTTGAAAAGCAAGCAGCAAACATAGAAACAAATAAAAAGTCGGCATACATTGAACAGCGGACAGTTGATAAAATCAAATGATGGCATAAACAAGACTCACCTGAAGACGTGATGTTTTCTTAGGCAAAGGTTGACCCAGCGGGAAGTTGTCCTTCCTCTCCTGGTAGATCTGTATGCCAGAGGACAGAGGGCGCTGCATGCTTGCTGCACCGGACATCATGCTGAACTTGCTGGGCTGGTAGACTTGGATCAGTGTCTGTAGGGGGGGGGGGGGGGGGCAACAAGGTGTGGGTGTGCAAATGTTATAATAGATAAGTTAAAGAGTGTAGACTTGGATCAGTGTCTGTAGGGGACAAGCAACGTGGTGGTGTACAAATGTTAAAACAGGCGGGTAAAGAAATGTAGACTTGGATCAGTGTCTGTAGGGGACCAGCAACATGGCGGTGTACAACAGTTAAAACAGATAAGTTAAAGAGTGTAGACTTGTATCATTGTCAATAGTGGACCACCAAGATGGAAGTGTACAAAAGTCAAACCAAGTGAGTTAATGGTAGATAAGAGAGTTAATTATTTCGGAACTGGGGCAGTCAACAGGGGCAGATGAAGTACTGTCCATCTGTTTTGTCATCTTATACTTAGCAGTCCTTTCTTTCCCTAAAGTGATTCAGGTACCCATTTAACTTAGGTCTTACCAGAAGCTTCGCGAGGCGGGGCAGTGGGTGCGGACCGCACTGGGTAACGCCATTTAGGGGGATGACACCAAGACACACAAAAATTGCAAGATATATAAAATAAATATCTTTTTACCAGTTCAATGTTAAATGTATTTGAAGTACATAATGACGATCCCGACAAGGGAGAGGTGAGTGACACCATGACGTAAACATGCAAGCTATAGAGAAAGCAATGCTACACCCAGCTGGCTTAACAACCGACTATAGACGAACATCATTAGCATTAAATGTGAACACTCAAAAGCTTTTATCGGGGATGGGGGGGGGGGTGACTGACACCAACTGCAACATTTACAGAGAAAGAAAAAGAGGGGGGGGGGGGTGACACCATGAGGTCACGTACTCGAGTCCTGGTTATGAAGTCGAGTTTTCCGGGATAGCAGTCGTGCGATGGGCCATAAGACCACCCTGTCCTATAAGACACTAGTGTTCAAAAGTTAACACAGGTGGGTAGATCAAACATAGAACCAGGTGAACTACTTTAACACAGGTGGGTAGATCAAACATAAAACAAGATGAGCTACCTTAACACAGGTGTGAAGATCAAACATAGAACCAGGTGAACTACCTTGTTAACACAGATAGATCAAACATAGAACCAGGTGAACTACCTAAACACAGGTGGGTAGATCAAACATAGAACAAGATGAGCTACCTTAACACAGGTGAGAAGATCAAACATAGAACCAGGTGAACTACCTTAACAAAGGTGGGTAGATCAAAAATAGAACCAGGTGAACTACCTTAACAAAGGTGGGTAGATCAAAAATAGAACCAGGTGAACTACCTTAACAAAGGTGGGTAGATCAAAAATAGAACCAGGTGAACTACCTTAACAAAGGTGGGTAGATCAAAAATAGAACCAGGTGAACTACCTTGTCATCACAGATAAATCAAACATAGAACTAGGTGAGCTACCTTAACACAGATAGATCAAACATAGAACCAGGTGAACTACCTAAACACAGGTGGGTAGATCAAACATTAAACAAGATAAGCTACCTTAAAACAGGTGAGAAGATCAAACATAGAACCAGGTGAACTACCTAAACACAGGTGGGTAGATCAAACATAGAACCAGGTGAACTACCTTAACAGAGGTGGGTAGATCAAAAATAGCACCAGGTGAACTACCTTGTCATCACAGATAAATCAAACATAGAACTAGGTGAACTACCTTAACAGAGGTGGGTAGATCAAACAGAACCAGGTGAACTACCTTTTCAACACAGGTGGGTAGATCAAACATAGAACCAGGTGAACTACCTTAACAGAGGTGGGTAGATCAAACAGAACCAGGTGAACTACCTTTTCAACACAGGTGAGAAGATCAAACACAGAACCATGTGAGCTACCTAAACACAGGTAGATCAAACATAGAACCATGTGAGCTACCTTAACACAGATAGATCAAACATTTAACCAGGTGAGCTACCTTAACACAGGTGAGAAGATCAAATTTTAGAACCAGGTGAACTACCTTAACACAGGAGAGAAGATCAAACATAGAACCAGGTGAACTACCTTACACAGGTGGGTAGATCAAACATTTAACCAGGTGAGCTACCTTACACAGGTGGGTCAAACAGTTAACCAGGTGAGCTACCAAAACACAGATAGATCAAACATTTAACCAGGTGAGCTACCTAAACACAGATAGATCAAACATTTAACCAGGTGAGCTACCTAAACACAGATAGATCAAACATTTAACCAGGTGAGCTACCTAAACATAGGTAGATCAAACAGTTAACCAGGTGAGCTACCAAAACACAGATAGATCAAACATTTAACCAGGTGAGCTACCTAAACACAGATAGATCAAACATTTAACCAGGTGAGCTACCTAAACACAGGTAGATCAAACATTTAACCAGGTGAGCTACCTAAACACAGGTAGATCAAACAGTTAACCAGGTGAGCTACCAAAACACAGATAGATCAAACATTTAACCAGGTGAGCTACCTAAACACAGATAGATCAAACATTTAACCAGGTGAGCTACCTAAACACAGATAGATCAAACATTTAACCAGGTGAGCTACCTAAACACAGATAGATCAAACATTTAACCAGGTGATCTACCTTGTCAACACAGATAGATCAAACATTTAACCAGGTGATCTACCTTGTCAACACAGATAGATCAAACATTTAACCAGGTGATCTACCTTGTCAACACAGATAGATCAAACATTTAACCAGGTGATCTACCTAAACACAGATAGATCAAACATTTAACCAGGTGATCTACCTAAACACAGATAGATCAAACATTTAACCAGGTGATCTACCTTGTCAACACAGATAGATCAAACATTTAACCAGGTGATCTACCTAAACACAGATAGATCAAACATAGAACAATGTGAACTACCTTGTACAACAAGTTGACAGCCAGCTGACGTCTGTATGTTGCAGACGACAAGATCGGATCCTCGCTGGGCTCTAGCTCTGAGAACATGATCTGGAGAGTTTCTGTTGGGTGGGGGGTGGAGATTGAAAACATTATCTGGAGAGTTTCTGTTGGGTGGGGGGGGGAGAGATTTAAAAAAACTGTAGTTTCTGCTAGGTGGGTGTGGGTGGAAAACATGATCTGTAGCATCGTGGGGTAAGGGGGTGTTAAAAACACGATCTGTAGTTTCTAATAAGGTAGGGGGTGGATTGAATCCATGATCTGTAATTTGTATTGGTTGGGGGGGGGGGGGGGGGATTGAAGTTATTAATTGGAGTTTGTATTGGGTTTGGGGGGATTGAAATCATGATCTGTAATTTATGCGAGTGGATGAGATTGAACTCTTGTATTAAGCGTAAGAAAGTTACTTGATGAACACCGTCGGGACAGTACAATTCAGTATCACTGTATCAGGACTAGGGTCAGGTTTAGGGCGAGATGGAAGTTATCGACACGACAAAATACATGCCAGCACTCGCTGAGCTCAACTCAAACCATGACTATAAACGTATAAACTTAAGCCTGTTGGTCGATTGAGGAGTGCAACGTACAGAGTTATTTCAGACGACAGTTGGGTGGGTTGCTGTAAAGTTTTCAAAGTATTTCCTTTACTGGGGAAGTAAGGTGTTGAATAATTATTTTTTTTTTAAACTTGTAATATGCAGACCCACCGTTAATGACGTCATCGGATAAGGTTTTGTTTTGAATAAATTCTTCCGCCTTGACAGCGTGGATCTGGGGAGAAATATAAAGCTGGGTGTAGACGACGTTAAGATGGTGTCTGGGAAAGGCGTGCAGGCGTTGAAGTTCTGTTGCGCCTTCAGTCTCTCGACTGTATGTGGGTTCTTGGAACCCCCAAGTTTTTCTCACTACCTTTTCGTAACACCATGCAAACATTCCCATCGCCAGCACCTGATTCCCTTTCCATTATTGGGTAAAAAAAAAACCAGTAAAGTATGAAGATATCCTTCCAGACCTGATGGTCAGTATGACTTGTGAACAAGAGTTCACCTGTTTCCTTGACCTCGGTATTTTAAGGAATACTGTGGTCAGTTTTATGCAGTCGCTTTTACTTTCCCTACCGTGAGTCAGGTACCCAATAGAGCTGGGTAGACTCAATGACATCCTACAGTATGGAGCCCGACTACTTTTGGCACCATTGAAAACTATTTCATTTTTAATTAGGCGAAAGTTTTTTTTATCATATTTCCTATACCCGTTTTTTTTAAGTTTCGCATTATTAACAGTTATGAACACATTGAAGCCATCAACTTTACTAGTACCAATAGACAACAAATAGTCAAGTGCTTACCGTATGGGCATTAATTCCACCAATCACAAAATTCGGCTGTCCAATTATCTTTCTGTTGTCTATGGTGATTTTAAATGCAGCGTTGATGTAAGCGTGGGCATTCTGGTGGGTGTCAAAATTACATCTTACAACTTTCATATATAAAACACTGGTAAAGCTGCAACTACGATCTACGATACTGAGAAATGTATAAACACGGTAGCATAGAGAGATGACTTGGGCTCATTTAAGTTTATTTACAAGGAGTTCATTTCTACATAAATGTTCCTCCGTCTAGACATGAATATGTAAGAATAATGACGTATGAGAATACCTGCCATCTAGGAGTGATCTTAAAGGATCTGTAATGATCTTTTATATCCCAGGAGGTGATCTGTATAGATGAGATGATCTTTCCCTTCATGTCAACTTTGCGTAAAAAATCCAAAAGTGTGTGTTGAGTAATCTTGGAGGTTTTAGAATCTAGCGAAACAAATGTTAACATTTGAATTCAGGTTTAATTAACACATAAACGCTACGTAATTAATATAAAATATATCTTCATATAAATGAATAATATAATTAGTTAGAAAGTATAGACTTGATATTTTGACCTATGTTCTCATTCTATACCACAGTGCTGCCATTTTATTTTAATTTTAAAGATAGTAATGTAACACCCCTGTCGCAAACCCCCATCAAGTCACTAATACCTAAACTCAGAGTTTAAGCTAAACCCCAAACTCACCGAATACCTTGACCTTGGCGCCAAGGGCTTCCAAAATGGTGAACAAATCCGAAGGAAAATCTGGTCGATAATATTTGATCATTAAGTTTCCCGCTAGGCAGCCAGCCTAAAGGCAACAAGAAATATGTGGTCATCAGGTTATGTGTATGATTAATAGAGCAGTGTTTCTTTCAGACATTTTGCTCCGGGGAAAGGAGATCACTTAAAACTACCCTGGGGGAGGGGGCGCTTAAATTTCAGGGGGGGGGGGGGTGGGGGTGATACATACACTGGTTAAAGTATATATGTATACGTCCTTCGGTTGAGGGGGGGGGGCGGAAGCAGTGCCTCTCCTAAGAGATGCCTGAAAGAAACTCTGCACTAGAGGCAACAATCAGTGTGTGACCATCGCTTGATCACTAGAACACGTACATGCAAACAGGAAATATCTGTCCACTAAACATCTGACCACTAAAAAGAACAGGAAATACCTGTCCACTAAACATTTGACCACTAGAGACAACAAAGACAAGATGACCACCCAGCAAAACACTGACCAGACTTACGTTTCTCACCAAGACGCTGGCGAAGACCTTAAGATGCCTGAGGATGCCGGAGCAGTAATGGTACCCTGGTTTCTGCTCCAGCAGCCGTAGTCTTTCTCTCCACACGGTGAAGGTCGTGCCCCCACCAAAGGTGACGCTGGAGTCGGTTTCCTGTTGGTGAGGGTTGTGTACACATTTGGTTAAAGGTTTGCTGGATTAGGATTAAGGTTAAGGTTTGCTGGATTAGGATTAATAGCTAAGTAAGTATTTCATAAAAATAGGTTTAGTGTAAGAATTGATTTATTATGCTTCACGACATCCCTCAGTACGAATTCAATAAGATATTGTGTTTTTAGTATGATGTGTGGCTCGATGTTTGATCTTTAAAATGTAGATTTAGAATACAGAGTTTTACCATTTAAAGAAAGGTAGATTAACTAACATATACTTACCTAGTAGAGAAGGGTAGATTACCTAACACAGACTTAACTGGTACTGAAAGGTAGATTACCTAACACAGACTTACTTACTAGAGAAAGGTAGATTACCTAACACAGACTTACTTACTAGAGAAAGGTAGATTACCTAACACAGACTTACTTACTAGAGAAAGGTAGATTACCTAACACACTCACCTTGTACAGGTAAAGTTCTCTGACTGCCCTCAGATCGATGTAAACTTGAAACGGATGTTTGAGAGTGAAGATGCCTGACAAGGATCATGACAATTTATATAACGTCATCAACTAACGAAACAAAAGTGTTTTAGCTACGGCCTTGCTGTCACCTACACTTCGGGAGGGGTTAAATAAGTAAAGTTTCCCTTCCAAACCTGACGGTCAATGTGGCAAGTGAAGTAGAGTTCACCTGTTTCTGGAACCTCAGCATATGAAGAGATAGTGTGGTCAGCACTATACCCAGCCACCTTTACTTTCCCTAAAGTGAGTTAAGTACCCATCAGAGTTGGGTGGACTCAGGGACGGTCTGCTGAATTTAAACCGGATTCGAGCTCGAGACTTACGGGTTAGCATTCCAGCATTCCAACACCCCCCCCCCCCTCCCCCTTCCACCGCCCTCCGGAGCAAGTCCACCGATCACCCAGGCAAAAATATACAAAACTTATATGGAAAATAAAATACTTTAACCAATGTCCGCCCCTCCCTCCCCCCGTAAATGTAAGTCGCCCCCCCCCCCTCACCTAAGAAAAAAAAATGTCTGAAAGAACCACTGACCTGCCGCCGTGTTGCCGAAGACCAGCCTGACCCTCTGAGTCTTATGTTGCTGCAGGATCTTGCCCAGCTCGACCAGGCTGACCGGACGGTACCACCGGCAGTGTTCCAGGTCTACAGCCAGACGTCTGGGGGTGCTGGCACAGACACGTGATGGCCCGGGGCAGTTCTTCTGACCAGCAGGTAGACAAGACTCTCCTGTTTTCGGACACAGCCTTCGATCCAAATCCTGTAGCAGATGTATTGAGACTTGATTTATTTAGACTGTGATATGTTTAGACTTGATATATTTAGACATTGATATGTTAAGACTGAAATGTTTAGATTTTGATGTCTTTAGACTTTTGATGTATTTAGACTTTTTATGTACTTAGACTATTTAGACTTTTGGTATACTTAGACTTTTGATTATTTAGACCTCTGATGTATTTAGAATTTTGATGTATTTAGAATTTTGATGTATTTAGAATTTTGAAGTATTTTGACTTTTTATGTATTTTGACTTTTTATACATTTAGACTTTTGATGTATTTAGACTTTTTATGTATTTAGACTTTTGATGTATTTAGACTAGATGTGTTTAGACGTCCGATGCGTTTGATCTTTATGATAAAGCAAAAATGTAAACATTCATTAAATGGCATTCACGCTGAACGTGAGTCGAATGCGATGACCCATCTGTTTCTGTTCCTGGCATGGTTACATTGTCATAGGAAATACCAATTTTTACATTTTTAGGTTAGGTCAAATTTGTTGCAAAATTCCAGATGTAGACAGATGGATTCAGTTAAATAAAATACTTGTAAAATGTGCGTCTTAAATTTTTGGTCGTTTCCTGAGCTTAAAAATGTGTCACTTGAAACTAGTTGTAACCATTTAAGACGGCAAAACAGATTGATCAATGGGGCTGTTGTTTTTATTGGTGGAGTTATATTAAAGCGTTCACTGACCTCAATGTCGACACACTTGGCTCCAGGAATAGTGGAGTCTGTAGCAAAAGACTTCATGGCGTCCAGGATTGACCTGTAGCCTGTACACCTGCACACGTGACCATCAAATGAGTCTTCTATCTCCTGCTGGCTCAGCTGGGGCTTCTGGTGGAGTAGTCTGGTTAGAAAATAGTTTCATTGGTTTTATTTTTATTTTAGTTTATGTTTTTTATATCAGTGAATAGTTTGGTTAGAAAATAGTTTCATTGGTTTTATTTTTATTGTAGTTTATGTTTTTTATATCAGTGAATAGTTTGGTTAGAAAATAGTTTCATTGGTTTTATTTCAGTTTAAATTTTATATCAATGAGTAGTCTGGTTAGAAAATAGTTTCATTGGTTTTATTTTTATTGTAGTTTATGTTTTTTATATCAGTGAATAGTTTGGTTAGAAAATAGTTTCATTGGTTTTATTTCAGTTTAAATTTTATATCAATGAGTAGTCTGGTTAGAAAATAGTTTCATTGGTTTTATTTTTATTGTAGTTTATGTTTTTTATATCAGTGAGTAGTCTGGTTAGAAAATAGTTTCATTGGTTTTATTTTTATTGTAGTTTATGTTTTTATATCAATGAGTAGTCTGGTTAGAAAATAGTTTCATTGGTTTTATTTCAGGTTAAATTTTATATCAATGAGTAGTCTGGTTAGAAAATAGTTTCATTGGTTTTATTTTTATTGTAGTTTATGTTTTTTATATCAATGAGTAGTCTGGTTAGAAAATAGTTTCATTGGTTTTATTTCAAAATAAATTTTATATCAATGAGTAGTCTGGTTAGAAAATAGTTTCATTGGTTTTATTTCAGTATAAATTTTATATCAATGAGTAGTCTGGTTAGAAAATAGTTTCATTGGTTTTATTTTTATTGTAGTTTATGTTTTTTATATCAATGAGTAGTCTGGTTAGAAAATAGTTTCATTGGTTTTATTTTTATTGTAGTTTATGTTTTTTATATCAATGAGTAGCCTGGTTAGAAAATAGTTTCATTGGTTTTATTTCAGGTTAAATTTTATATCAATGAGTAGTTTAGAGTAGACTGGTGATGGGGAGGATACACAGGTAATAGTGGGAGACAGGTGACAGGTAAATGCGAGAATGGTGGTAGGTACATAGGAGACAGGTGACAGGTACACGTGAGACAGGTGGCAGGTTTAGAGGAGCCAGGTGGCAGGTACAGGGGAGACATATGACCCCGGGCGCCGACCTTAGGGGGCGCCAATATGAGTTGGAAAAATAAGTTGAGGGGGGGGGGTGCAAATCGAAAGTTTGAGGGGGGTGCAAATCGAAATCTTGAGGGGGGGGGGGTGCAAATCGAAATCTTGAGGGGGGGGTGCAAATCGAAAGTTTGACGGGGGGGTGCAAATCGTTAAGTTTGTCCCCGGTAACGGTCGCTACGCCTCTGCCAAAGGTTAATACAAGACATTAACAAGAAGGTGCGTATTCACGTGTGTACTCACCCATACATGGACATGACAAAACCAGGAGTACAGTAGCCACACTGAGTACCGTTATGCTTGGCAATCCTCTCCTGGATTGGGTGGAATCCATCTTTTTGACTGCCTATACCTTCAACAGTGGTGATCTGCCAGCCGTCTACACTGTACAGGGGGCAGAGACACTGGCAGGGGAAGTAACTCAATAAATGAACCCATATAACGACAGAAGGTAACTCATTGAATAAATTTTATATGCCTGCAGGGAGATAACTCAATACATTATCTCATGCAACTACATAATACATTAAATAAAAATTAAAGACACGATGAAGATAATAATTTATAAACAAAATTTATATTAAAATTATAGCGACAAAATTTTTTGCCAATAAATTTAATTTATATTTAATAACAATGAGAAAAAGTTCATTAAATACAATTTAAAGACACTAGTATGATGATGTATCAAAACCTAAATATAATAGAATAACAACTGCTTTAATTATTGTTCTCTCTGGTACCATATGGAAAGAAAATAACTTTTTTATTTATTCAAAATATAATGAATTGCCTATCTCAGGGGTCGGCAACCTGCGGCTCGCGAGCCGCATGCGGCTCTTTTGATATCAAGATGCGGCTCTCCAGCTCCTTGATCAAATACTAATAATCTTAATAAAAAAATAAAATATTTGAAATTAAAAAAATGTTAGTGGCTCTTTAAAACCAGGGAAATATTGAAAATTGTAATTTTTGGCTCTTCCGCTTCAAAAGGTTGCCGACCCCTGGCTATCTTTATAAGCATTTCAGTAACTACTTAATTTAAATCACTTGAATATCATGACTGTCACCTAATTCATTCTATTTTTATAACTCCTTATTCTACACGTGACAGTAATTAGTTCTCTTATGAGTAAAATCAGTGTTTCTTCCACATTTTTTTCTCCTGGGGGGGGGGGGGGGGGGGGGCTTGAGATTTTTCGGGGAGGGGGCGACCAAAATTTCCGGTGGGGAGGGGGGGACACTGTTAAAAGTATATATTTTCTATATAAATTACTTTACGTTCGAGGGGCTGCCTCCCCTCCCCCCTCCTCAGAAGAGATATCTGGAAGAAACTCTGTGAAATGATGTAATACCGAGTTAATGCTCATGGTCTCTGCCTTATCTCCCCCTGGGGCGTAGGTCACGGTCACTGCACAACATCCACATCCGGCCTCCTTGCACATGATTTTCGTCCCCTTAAGTCCAGCAACATCTCTGATGTAATCGTTTAGTGATGTGGTGGGTGGATACTTATCATACACTGAAAGATATCATTTAGTGGTGTGGTGGGTGGATACTTATCATACACTGAAAGATATCATTTAGTGGTGTGGTGGGTGGATACTTATCATACACTGAAAGATATCATTTAGTGGTGTGGTGGGTGGATACTTATCATACACTGAAAGATATCATTTAGTGGTGTGGTGGGTGGATACTTATCATACACTGAAAGATATCATTTAGTGGTGTATTCCGTTGATATTTTTCATACATATAAAATACAAAAAAAAAGTTCAATGTTGTCCTATCAAATGTTCTTGCTTAAGTTCCATAAAGTTGCCAGATTTTTTAATCATTAATTTGAATATTTTAATTTTAAAAATCTGCCCAGCAATTTCGAAACTACTTTCACTTTCCTTAATATTTTGTTTCCTTAATATTTCCTGATAAATTGTAGTTGCCCTCTCTACTTTCAATGGAAACTGTGCTGTATTTTTTTTAAATGTGCAATTGTTAATCAAAGAATACGAAATACATGCCAATCGATATTTCCAAGCCGGCTTAGAATCATTTTTTCAGCTAATATCGAAATTAAACGTTTGCCAAAAAATGGGTTTTTTTTTAATTGCTGTGTTTATTTAGGCAGATTAAGTTAAAATCTCTGTTTCTTCAGATGAAACCCTCCATCATATTTTCTAAGCTTTTAAAATAAAATATTAGTTTTAAACAAAACTAGAATGATGGGCTAAGGGGTCAGCTGTTACAAGGTAATAACAATAAGCATAGGACTAAAGTTTGTTGTCACCACTTCATGTTACACCTGCTGACCTCTGACCTCAGCCATTTTATAAGCTTTTATTGAGGTCACGATGTCTATTTTATTTATTGGTTTGTTTGTTTGTTTGTTTGTTTGTTTGTGGGATGTGGTGAATCTTATACATTAATTTTAACCCACTTCTAATATAGCGATTTTATTTTAACTTTCCAGATACATTCATCTCCGGTGATAATGCAAGAATATCTATTTTTTTATCTCATTAAACATTAGGATTAGTTATTAAAAAATAATTTTTAAAAATTACTAAATCCAACAATAAAAGGAAAGATAACAAGATTATGTCAGCTGATCGTCCACGGTGAACAGTGTTTTTTTTTTTTACGGCTGATTAAATTTTTGCCAGAGCGTTGACCGTGGACAGAGAAGGGGCAGATAATTGTCTTCTATAGATTGCATGTTACTGAAAACAATGTGTAACTTTACAGTGCTTTAGTTATCTCAGTTTACCATCTGGAATAAACATGATTTTTTTACCCTGTACTGCTTTAAGAAATAACACTTTCAACATCAGTGTTTTAAATCTCTTGATCGTGATGATATTTTACTTCACAACTAGATGCACTGGCGTATTACAGAAAGAAAAAAAATAAGATTCAAGCAGATCTGTCATTCGGTGAATCGATTAAGCTGTAAATGTTGATTTGTTTTTGTTTTTTTTAAGAGAAAGGAATACAAGATCTTGGTGCAATAGCTCAGTGTATAACTGAGTGTATAACTAAGTGTATAAATCTAATTACATCAAAGTGTTTGTTTTTCTGGGGGTGGCTGAAATGGAAGTGGAAGGGGGGGGGGGGGGGTTAGATAATGGATGCGAGAGTTGATTAGTTAACGAGAAGAACTGGGAGATTTAGATCGATGGCTGTGTGGCCGTGAGGACATCTTGTACCTCATCCACCCCTGTCCCTGCCAGGATGTGGGTTGTGTGTGTACTCAGTGATGGGTGAACGTAAGGACCTGTGGTGTGGGAGGGGAGGGACTGTTGGGAGGGACTGGGGGAAGAGACTGGTGGGAGGGACTGGGGGTAGTGACTGAGGGAAGGGACTGGTGGGAGGGACTGGTGGGAGGGACTGGGGATAGGGACTGGTGGGATGGATTGGAGGGACTTGGGAGGGACTGGGGGATGGGACTGGTGGGAGAGACTAGGGGAAGGGACTGGTGGGAGGGACTGGTGGGAAGGACTGGGGATAGGGACTGGTGGGATGGATTGGAGGGACTTGTATGGATAGATGGTGGGATGGAATTGTGGGAGGTAGGGATTGGAAGTAACTGGTTGGAGGGACTTGTGTTGTGGGAGGGACTGGTCGGATTGATAGGAGAGATTGGTGGGAGGGATTGGTGGGAGGTAGGGATTGGAAGTAACTGGTAGGAGGGACTGGATTGGAGTGAGGGACTTGTAGGGATAGATGGTAAAGTTTGGCGGGATGGCATTGTAAGAGGGTCTGGTAGGAGGGACTGGTTGGCAATAATGTAGTTAATACGTAGTACTGATGGGAATTGTGGTACTGGTGGGATGAAGAGGGTAAAGGTTGAGAATTCGTCAAAATTTCAAGGTTTTTTAAAACAGCGAGAACAGTACCAAGGTTTGATCACCGCTGGTTTAATAGATCTGTTCGATCTGCTTTAAGAGACGTGTATCTGCTCTATAGGTTCCAGCATTGACACTTGAGTGACGTGTCTCGATAGACTGATGGCACCAACTGTTCTAGAGAACAGGCCGTGACCTCTCTGGTCAGGTGAGTGATGCCGGAAGGCGTTGAACCGGATCAATTAGGTGCTAATCACTCGAGGGTAACTAATGGCTTAACAGGATTGGTTACAAGAATACTACTACGAACATGCTTCTTCAATGTAATATACATTAAATGGGTTTTCCACCGATATACATAGATGTGTGTATATATATATATATATATATATATATATATATATATATATATATATATATATATATATATATATATATATATATATATATATATATGAATAGTTTTGGGTTTTGATACTAACAATTCAAATAAAACAATTACCTAATTGTTTTTCTCCGTTGATGGTGAATTCTATAATAGCTTGTGTCACTTGATTGCTAGTTTGAAAAACAGAATCTTCAATACACATCAACTAAAACATCAGCTGCAACATCAGCTAAAACAACGTCTTTAATTAACTCTCCCCCTCCCCCCCCCCCCCCCCCCCATCCCTCGGGTACTAACACACACAAAACATCAACACACAATAAAAAACAACTGGCAATGTGTTTAGTGTACCACAAGGCAGGGCAGTTTGTAACGACGTTGTAGTTTCTTTTGTTTTGTTTTTTTATTAACCTACGGGTATCGCGTATGTAAGTCTTCTAACATCCATGGTCTTTTAACAATATACCGTAACTATGACAACCATGCCTAACGGGCGTTTGGTATGTTAGTAACGCCTACAGTTAACTTGGATTGGGGTATCAATATTCTAGAGCATTTAAACACTACCTGCTCGTCATTCAAGGTTATTTTTTGACTCCCTCAGACCATTATAATTAGCTTTTAACATTATATAATAAACTCGAGATGACAATGGTGAATTAAACTCGCCTCAAATGTATGTATTTGTCGAGCTAACTAACTAAACACAATATTAACAACAGCGTAACCTAACATCGTAGCTATTCGTATTTAATAACATTATTTGTGTTAAATATTCGGAACATGAATGTCTTCATTAGAATTTATTAACGAATCAATCATCATTATGGCGAATCATTTGACATGCCTATCGATTCCCTAGACAGAAGAGTAGTCTCCCTGTACGAGAAAGTCAATTACACTTCAGGGTTATCTGTCGTAGTTGTACTTTTGGCATATTTAACCCAATAAATGTCACTCAAGATATTAATAGACTTAATCGATGGGTGATTAGTGTATTGTAGGGTTAATTTAATGTCTGGCATAAGCTGATTTTATTTCCTACACAAATGAATTACATTTGTAGTGATGTTAGGCGAAGTTTAAAATCTACTTCTGGTTGCATAAACTTTCAACAATTTCTATCTATAGCAGTTTTATAAAAGTTATTTACTTGGAGGATGGCCGTGTTACAATAGTTTAAAAAGTCTGTTAAACATCTTTAAAAATCTTCTTTGTTCTTAATTGTAATGTTGGACGGAATTTCCTCCAACACAATTACGTTTTACACATTAACATGTAATTCGCCATAGAGTCTATAGCCGTTGACTAAGATTTCAGCTTGCTTTTCTTTTTGGAGTTGCTTCCAAATACTTAGTCCATCCAAGAAAAAAAAAGTCAGTAGTTGTCGATTTTGGAGCAATCTTTCCTTGATATGTTCCTGTCTTCAGCAATCGAACATCATCTGCCCTTTAAAAATCGATTGTTTATAATTTGGATTTTTTTTTATTATATGTACTTTAAAAAAAATTGTTATAGGATTTTTAAAAAGTCTATTTGTCAATACTCGGTACATTTCGTTCTTTGTGTGTGAATCGGAGCAAGTTTACCCCATTACGTCTCAATGACTTGTGATGACGTCATGTAAACAACTCGCCTCGGCTAGCAATCAAATATTTACACGATCGTGGTATGCTCGAGGAAGATGTTAGCTTATAGAAACATGTACACAAATTAGATCAATCGTTTCTTTACTGCTAGTATGTGTCAGAATTATTTAGTTTTCCTCAGAAAAGTAAAGGAGATAATCTAATTATATCCGTAGTAAATAACACCACTCAGGGCTCGTAATTCAGTACTTAGTTATGGCAATCAGTGGCTTGGAGGGTTGTTTTGTTGTTGTTTTTTTGTTTTGTTGTTTTTTGTTGTTTTATTTTTTTTGGGGGGGGTGGGGGGGAGTGTGTATGTCTACATAAGTATGTATATATATATATATATATATATATATATATATATATATATATATATATATATATATATATATATATATATATATATATATATATATATATATATATATATATATATATATATATATATATATATATATATATAAACTTTAATAAGAAAACTCATTCTGTTGAATCACTGTTAATCTTAATAATCGGATTATCTAGAGCTTAAATCCAATTAGATTTCATCTGGTTATCTCCTGTTAAGCTTCTAAGTT